ATTTGAGATAGATATCTCGAATTAAATTCAAGATGCGCAGAGTTGGTTGTCAAATATCTAGTCACTTCAATTTGTGCAACATCAATAAACAAATATACAATTAATTTTGGAACACGTATTTGGGCCAATTTGGCCGCGGAATAGAGAGACTAATATTAATTTTGGACGTCCATTAATATTAAAGTAATGCTAAAAAAACTGATTGAGACTTATATTTTGAAATTTTGTTTCGTATTTCTTTTTTCACTACACGAGATAACAACTTGCAAACTAACATGTAATTAAGTGGGTTGGTGGTCTTGGACCTCTGTTGCTGATATAGAAAGATTGAAAAGATCATGTTCTAGGTCCTCATCATAGTATTGAAGCTGTTGATGCATGATATCACAGAGCTGGTCATGGTTGCCTTGACCAACACTTAGTTGCTGTTTAACACAAAAGAAAATTAAGCTTTGAAAATTATTAATATGAACTCCAAACTGAAAAAAAAAAAATACAAAAAAAAAAAAAAAAAAAAAAAAACAAAACAAAACAAACAAAACTTTTCCATTTACTCTATCACTGGAGGACAGTGAGAATCCAAACGATAGTGATTAACATCACATTTCTAACATAGTTTTCTCATCGCCAAGTTAGCAAGGTAAGTAAAAAATTTACTAATCTACACTTTATTTTACCATATATATGAATATTGATTTATACGATATATTATACTACTAAAAAAAATACCATTCAACTTTACTTTTTATTTAAATTAAAATACCTTTTTACTTTTTCTCTTCTTAAATTAAAATGCATTTTACTTTTTTTCTTCTGTATCGAAATTCTGTTCGTATATTATTTATTCTTCTTCCATCCCAAATAATGTAAATGCACAAGAACAAACAAATTGAATTTCGGGTTGCCTCCAAACAACATAAAATACGTTCCAAAATTTGGTTTTACCGATTTTTTATGTTCATCAAACCTAATAACGCAGACTTCAAATTCTTTGGATAACCAAAGTCACCCCTGGTTCTCTCTAAATAAGATAATAGTTGTTTTCTCATTTTGAAAAAAATTACAAAAAAATAAAAATCATAGCCTCTCACTTACAATTGTCAAATGGCCATAATCTTCTTTTGGAAATAGATCTAATTTTGTTTATTTGAAGAGAGAGGTCGTTAATCACAGAGCATTACTTTATCCAATGTGTTTTGAATTTACGTTTGATCTAGTTTTACTTCTTTCAGACTTAATTTTGATAACGGGAAGTTTTCATTTCTTTTAAGTTCAAGCTTTAATGGGCGTGGTAGTAAGGGTTCAAAGGTGTTAAATGTGGTTGTAAATGAGGTTCAATATGTTGAGTTTTCTTTTAATGTGGTTTTAAATATGTTGAAAGTTGGTACAACTGAGTTAAAGTCCATATTAGAATTTAGATTAAATTTATTGATTTTATTATTATTTAGACCTCTTTCAAACATCAACGTACCATATTGAGCCGTGGGTGTGGTACAAGCTCTGTTTGGTATATCACTTTGCGCAATGTGTTTTGGATTTACGTTTGGTCTAGTTTTGCTTCTTTCAGACTTAATTTTGATGGGGGAAGTTTTTATTTGGTTTGAAAGCAAAGCTGGGGATGGTTTTCCTTTTTTTTTTTTTTTTTTTGGGGAAATTTAATTTTCAATTTTTTTTTTTCGAAAGTTAATTAATTTTTAACTTTTCTACTACTTATTTTGTCAAGTGAGACTCATAAAGTGAAAATTAAATTCATTAAATATTGCTATATATATATGTTTTATACGTATGAAAGTTGTATGTATAAATTGTGGGACTCATAATATAAAAATTAAATTCATTAAATATTGTAATATATATACAAATTTAACTATTGTCAAGTTAGTTTTTTTATTCCTCGCTGGACCAATCCAGTGAAAGAGTAAATAGAGAGGACTTTTTTCCATACATTTTTCATTATTGAATTTCTAAAACTAAACCTATCCAAAAAAAAGAAAAATCCAAGAGTAAAAATCTTTTTGGTACAGCAGATGAAGTATGGGTGCCGATTCTATTAAAATTCTTCAATAATTAGGAAGAAAAAAATGAAGTCCTAAAATTGTTTAATCTTGAGCATTTTTCACTCAACACACTATTAGAGCATTATTTTAAATATATCACTAAAATATAAAAACAATTTCACATTCCATTCTAATTAATCTGTTAATAAAAATATTTATATTATGATAAGGGGCAAACTTATTAAGGGCTCAGTGGGTCAGCTGCCTCCACTGAATTTTTTTAATTTATAACATTTACCTATAATTTTTATTAAAATCTTAAAAATATCCCTCTCAATTTTTAATATTAACCCCACTATATATTATTATTGTTCAAGTCAGTCCTCTCATATAATTTGATGGCTAGGGTCACTAATTATGATGTATTTCACAATGATAATATGAGTCAAATATGAAAAGTGCTCAAGGATATAGATATTAGCAGTAACTTCTTGTATCATTGTAGGATAAAAACGACAAATTATTTTCATTTTTTGGTCAAGATAAATTCTGCTACGGTGATCTTTCTCTCTCTCTCTCTCTCTCTCTCTCTCTCTCTGTATATATATATATATAATATTTATAATTTGACCCATAATTTCACTCCTCTTTTCCAGATAAAATATATTGGCCAGAAGAAGTTTTGATTGGACATGAGAGAGTGTTTTTAACTCCCGTACATCTAAGACACCAAATTTTTAAGGTAACTGATTTTCATACAAAACAATAATTATAATTCCTCAAGGCATTCAATTAGCTAATAAATAAATAATTTAAATAATAAAAATTTAATGAATAAAGAGTAGAGATGTTATTGAGTTACCTGTTTCGGATCTGCAGAAATGTCCAGCATAACTTGATCTTCTGAAACTGCAGGTTGAAATGCTGTTTGAAACATTTTATTTCCTTGAAAAGGATGCAAATGTTTGTTAGATTTGTGAGTATTATATGATAAATAAAAATAAATAAAAAATGTCTCGACGAAATAGAAGGAGAATCATTGCATGCTAATGATTTTTGAATACGTTTACTATTCTAGGGATGTAATCATTAATAGCAGATGTCTTGTTAAGGTGGCCATATCTTGTTAAGGCTCACCACTTAGGAGCGATGCCAAAAAACGAATTATTTGGAATCACACTTGTCTTGTTATATATATATATATATATATATATATATAGTAATTAAAAGTTCAAAAAAAGAAAAAGAAAAATGCAATTTAAATAAATTGATTGGTTACAAGTGAAAAGAAAAGTGGTAGATGGGAAGTACTCTTGAGCAACCAATCATTCCCAATTTTGCCTTATGTATTTGTACCATTATAACTAAACAGAATCTAAATACTGTACAAATTTTAAGGAAAAAAAAAAAAAACAATTATATTACAAAAAAAGAGTAGTAGTCATTTGATAACTAAAATGTTTGCAAAAAAAAAAAAACTAAAATTATTAGCATATATATGAAATTTTGTACACCCATTCATGAACCCCAAAACCACCTAGTATACGTCAATGATACAAATTTTGAGAGGCCCTTTGTACATTAAGTTTCACATGTGCCAAAAATTTATAAGAGTGTAAAATTTTCATCAAAATTAGTTGATAAATACAAAATATATTAATGTTGAAAATACATAAAACAAAACCTGATCTTCATACTTTATAAGTCCAATCCAGTTTACATTATATATATATATATATATATATATATATATTCAACACATCTTAATCACAAATATGAAAATAAATGTGATCATCTTACATTTTGAGTTGCAAAATTGTCAATTAAAATGTTCTAATTAAGTTTCTCCAACATATTGTGGACAATAAACAGTAGATAAGATTTAATCAACTTTAACTTAGAAAAGCTTCTTTGAGCAAATGCAACTGTAATTATGATAGTCAATAATATTGTATAGGCACCCTAAACATTTGGAAAATAATAACTTAACCTTTTTTATAAGATTTAATACCTTAATTGCCTTTTTTGTCTTTTTTGTTTCTTTTGTAAAGTTTCTTTTAAGACTTGTAACTTTGAAAATAATTACGTTCCATCAAGAAACCATGTCATATTTTAGGAAATCTTTAATATTATTTTGGAGAATGTGACAATTGATTGCAGTTAAAATTTTGATTGTTTACACTAGGCTTAACAAAGTCTGCTATGCATGCATATGAGTTAAAAAATAATAAAATAATATAATAAACAAGTTTCTAAGTTTAAATATAGAAAATTATTTATTTATTTATTTATTATTATTATTATTTTTATGGGAGGGGACAAAAACAAATTATTGTTACGATACAAAATGTTGTATTATATATATATAAATTGATATTATAAGTACACGTGTTAAATTTAAATATATATATATATATATATATATATATATTTAAAAAAAATTATTTATTGTCATAAATTTAAGTGATATATAAGTGTGTATTGTTTTTTAATTATGAAAATTACGGTCACATGCACATGTTACTATATTTGCATTATGATTCTAAATTTGAGGTACTTCTAAATTGAAGGCCCCAAACAACCGCTTTGGTTGCTTGCCGCTGTATTACACTTTAGTCACTTCTGAGATTCCCGACACCTATTTATTCATTTTAAAATCACTCAATAAATACACCCAATATGAAACCGAACATATGTATGCATGATAATTAGTTCAAAATCATATAGTATAATTTTTGTGCGTTAGCTTGAAATTTTTTAATTTAAAAAATATATATTTTTTAAATTTATATTATTTGAATAGTAGTTTGTTTTGTTTTTTGTTTTTTTGGGGTAAAGGGTGGGTGAATGTATTATTTGTATAGTTTGTATATTTTTAAAATTTATATTATTTGAATAGTAGTTTGTTTTGTTTTTTGTTTTTTGCGGTAAAGGGTGGGTGAATGTATTATTTGCATAGATTGCGTTTGCTAAAAAATCACAAAATAAAAAAAAAGAGTAAAAATTGTAGTGTGAGATAATATGAAGGACAAAAGATGAGTCGTTAAAAGGGTGGACGCAGGGAATGCGAAGAAGAGTAGCTGATCCATCGCCGACTACCATTTTTCCCCTAACCCCACATCACATGCTTCCCCTTTAACGCGTCGACTCTCATTGTTCGTCGCCCATCAATTTCTTTCTTCACTTCCGATCTCACTTCTCCAGCATCACTCTAAAAACCTAGAGAGAGAAAGATTTGGAGAGAGAAAATGGCGCTGAATCACGCTGGACCCTGCACTCCGGCGTTGTTGAAGGCGACCTTAGGGCTGATGGCACTGTGCATGGCTGGCTACATAGTAGGCCCCCCTCTCTACTGGCACGTCATGGAAGGCGTAGCAGCAGTAAGTCGCTCAGAATCTTCGTCTTCCTCTTGCCCTCCTTGCCTCTGTGATTGCTCTTCTCAACCTCTTCTCTCCATTCCCCAAGGTATTTTCTCTCACGTCAATCTCCAGATCTGCTTTGATCTCTTCAATTCTTTATTTGAATCGATCGGTCTTAAAGTTGATCTTTTAGTAGTATTTGAATATGTACTCATTCGCATACCTTTATATGTAAATAGGAAAATTGATCTTTGTTTTTGTCACGGATTGTGCGACAAAAGAAAAGCAAAATTCATTTTCATTGCATTTTTTTTTTCCTTTGAATCGCCAATCCTTTGAACCAAACGATGTTTTAGGACGTACCTTTACCGGTAGATCTCTTGATGGTTTGATTATTTGTACTCCTGATAAGTATAACCTATCACTCTTACTAGGCTTACTGATTTAATTAATGAATTTGTTCATTGATAGGAAGCTAATAGGATGATTCTAACTACTGCCGATCTCAGACATGGTCATATTTACCTTAAATGTACTTACTTACAGAAGTCTATATATGTGAAACTAAACACTTAGGGCACAAATTTGCATTGATCTAGCTTTGACAATAACAAATATGGTGCCATGGTGTTGTCTTTTCTAGTAATTCAATTTTGTTGCTTCACTACTTATCTCTACAGCCTTCCTGAAAATAGTAAATTTACACACACAAGCTTTATTGGTTGTTTACAAGGCTAAATATATGTAGTATTTTTTCAAACGCCTTTGTGCACACACAATAGAGAGATTCAATCAAGAATTAACAATAATTTGGCAAAAATGTTTTGGTATGTTTCGGTGTTGGAGAGAGAGAGAGAGAGAAGTGTGCCCGAGCCACCATGATTTCGATTGTTCAAGCTTGCTCTGCTCGCGATGCACCCGGGGAAAGCTCATTTTTATGTGAAACCTCCAATGCTCACATACTGTTCCATGAAAAAGTGTGAATCATGAGTGAGTTTTTTTGGATGAGAGGGAGATGTGTTAAAGATATGAGTGGGGAAATATTGAGTGAAAGTGTTGAATGAGAGAGTTTGATGAAAGGGAGATTGTGTAACCTGTAGAGAGAGAGAGAGAGCTGTGCGTCACCAGCAGCTGTGGTGCCTCACTATTGTCGTCGATAGAGTGATAGTGAAAGAGCAGAGCACCACTGTGAGTGACCACTGCAAGAGAAAAGAGAAGATCATGCAAGAACTGTCGGGAGAGAGAGATAGCAGTATAACTGGATTGCTCTGAACCATTCTTTACTAAAAAATTCTCTGGTTTTGATAATGGATAGAGTGGAAAATTTTGAGGTCTTGTCCTTTCTTAGCTGTGTTTTGGGTGGGGTGCTGATAAGAAATGGGCAAAGTTTTGCAAATCAGCACGGGGCAGTGGTTTTTCGATTCTCTCTTTCTCTCTTGAAGATAACCACTTATTTACGCAATAATGATTGAGTGATTTTTTCTGGGTAAGAAGCCCGAGCAAGAGCAAAGAGAATCCTTCTCAGGTCTCTCTCCTGATCTTAATTAAGAAATGGGCAAAGTTTTGCATTGAAAATTTCAAATTCAGTGGATGTGGAGGGGAGAAGAGTCTGCTTCTTCATGGGTTTTTTTGGTGATCAAAGAGTTTAATGATGTTCATTTTTTGCTGATCCTTGGAGATAGGTCCTTTATGTACTCATGTTGAGGCCTAAAACAAAGTATCTCCTTATTCAGATTCCTAATAAAGTGATGTATTGAGATAGGCACCAAAGAAAACGTTATTTTTGGCATACCTTGACTATCTTGGGGTGCTTCTGTGTTTCTGACCTTGACTCATGTAGGTGAAGGCAAAAGTGCGATAAAGAACATAATGTGGTAAGAACAATAAATAATTGACAGGACAAGCTTATCTTATGGCAAAAAAGATAGAGAGAGGGAGAGAAATAAAGGGAAACAAGCTTTCTATAAGCTTTATATATATATATTTTCCATTTTCATTTCAACGGTGAATTAGGCATGGTTATCCAGTTCATTTTTTATTATTTGAAAGCTATTCTACTTTTAATTCAAGGATCTTGGAGAATTCTTTTTTCCCATTGGTGAACTTCTCTCAGAAGTATATTTGCTGAACAAAAAACATTATCCATAATAAGTGATGGCAATTTTCTAACTCTTTGAGTTGTGACATGAATTCCATCTCATCTTATCAGTTTATCAATAGCCATTTATCCTTTATGGGCACGAGAAATTGACCCTGTTATGCCATCTTCAATAAACTTTTATCTATTTGTTTTCATAGTATCATGGCACATTATATGTACAGCTTGAAGATTCGTTTTAAACACACTTTAAAAGACAAGTGTTGACATTTGAACCCATTGTTTTGATCATTATTCAATGTCATGTCTATATGCCTTTTTTAATTCTTGGCCTTCATTTCAATGGACTTTGTGTTTCACTTGTTGGTCTTCTTGTACTTGATATGCCAACCCAAGGTTTGAGGGAGGCACTATTATTTTTTTCATTTATTGAGTAGTGGTGTCCAGTGTTCCACCCCTTAGGGAGTATGACTAATCCCTTCAGATATTTGCAATCTCCTTCAAACCAAAAGCTCAGGTAAGCCCACGGCAGAGGTTTAATACCCCTGGAGTTAAACATGAGACATCTGTGTGCCTAAGCAGGAGGCATTATTAGTTTGCATACTAAGTTACTAACAATATTTCCGCCGAAGACTACTATATTCAATATCTTTCTTTTTCCTTTTTATTCTTTTCTTTTTTCATGGTTTTGATGATCAAAATGTGCAACTTTTTGATCTTTTCTCTATATTTATTGCAGGACTAAGCAACGGTTCCTTTGCAGGTTAGTTTCTCATTTATATATTGTATGTAATGAAAATGGATGCAAAATGTTTTGATTTGTTGTGTGTAGAGGATTGTTCTACTTTTTCTTTGCTTTGGTTCTATATGTACATGTTTCTTAATTCAATGACACAGCATATTAGTAGAAAATATGTCAGACCTAAAGCTAAAACCAAAATATATCCAACAGAAATTACTTCAAGAAAACCCATGTAGCAGAAAATATGTCAGACCTAAACTAATGTTTTCTTTTTTCTCATATTTTTCTCATCTTGAGTTTGCTTTTTTAAGCAACTCACTATAGGTGCCAAGGGGGCAAACCCATGTAACAAGAAAACAAAACTGAAAAAGACCACGACCTCAGAGTCTCATATTTTTCTCATCTCGAGTTTGTTTACCTACTTTAGTGAAACAATCAATCATGTTTGAGAGTTCAGGGCATTGAAAAAAATGTATTGGGTGTCAAATATGATTTTCTCATCTCAAGTTTGTTTACCTACTTTAGGGAAACAATCAATCATGTTTGAGAGTTCAGGGCATTGAAAAAAATGTATTGGGTGTCAAATATGAGGTTCTTCTAGTGTTAGTGCTTGATGAGTTTTTTTCTAGCCCACCTAGCTGTTCTGACTGAGGGATGTACCCGTTTCCCTTAAGAGTTCTGTATTTGCATATCTTGACATATACTCAAGGTGTCTACAAAAGAGGATGTGGTTAACCAACAGAAAGTTAATCAATGTATCATTTTTTTTAAGCTCATATAAGAGGAAGTTTCAATAGCATCTGAAATGAGTATTTGTTAAAAGATTATTATATTACCTAGAAAAAGATTTACCACTAGGGATTTCAAGGAAGTCAAATCCTTTCAAGTAGCAAAACAAAGCGGTAAATTATTTCAAGAAATGCAGTGCGGAAGCCTCATATTCCCCTTTCTCTAATATTAGAAGGTATGAATGTAAACACAAGACATGTTAATTGAGGCATGTTTGTGTAAGTTAAGTATTTTGTTATATGGATATTACTTAAAGAACTTCCATTTAATCAAAACCGATCCGAGTATACACAAACTATTTGACTTTAGTTTCCTACAGTTCTCCATATGTGTGATCAGTGATGTGGTCATTTTCTTTTTACTGAGAAGAAATAAAGGGTCTTCTCAAAAAGGCTGATGGTAGGGTACTTGTAGTTCTCTTATGGTATGGCAAATTCATGGGTATCAGACTCTGGAACTGGTCTATGACATGTGGTTTTAGGTATAGTGTCCTCGACAAGGTGGTTGCTTGTAGGGAGATTATTATGTCTGAAAAATAAATATTTTGGATGACCTTGGACCAATGAAAGTACAGAAATTGTCTAAAAGTATATATTCAGGGAAAAGAAAAGGAAGAAGAGCAAAGTTACGTTTTAAAATCGAACAATTCTTGCCTCAAGCTACATGGTTAGGAATGTCCTTCTGATGCTGATATGGACCAATAAAAATATGACATGTGTCAAAAACTTTTTAAAATAATTAATAAAAATTGTTTGGATCTTTTTGCAGATCATCCAAAAAGAAAGATTTTTTTTTTTTTTTCCCCTTATGCGTTTGAGATTTTCTATTGCAAACCCTTTATATTGCAATCGGTTATAGAAGAAGCTAAACAATTAGCTCAAACATGGTAAATTAACCACAATTGTAAGACTCCAATTATCAATGGAGTTTAAGGAAATTAATTTGGCTTCAAATTGCAACAGGTGGTGATAAATCTCAAATTTTTGGATGCCACTAGAGCTATGCGTATTTATTAATTGGTTAGCCTCTTGAGTCATTCTGGAGATGGGGTTGCAACAGAGATGGCAGGCAACGAATGTGGCAGCTTGAATCATTTCTAAAGATTGGATGTAAAAGATTAGGGTTTGGGAATGGAGGAGGTGGCAAGCAGTGTAGGTGGTGGAGGTCAGTTGACGGAAGAAAGGATTAATATTAGGGTTTCAGAATTGGGGAGATGGTGGGCATCAATGGGGATTTGGTGGGAAGAGAGAAGAATCATGAGTTAAAGCATAGTTATTAAAGGCCCAAGGCACTAGAGGTCCTTTGGAGCCTAGGCGCGAGGCGCACGCCTGAGTGAAGTGAGGTATACAATTGAAAATTTAAACTACTATAATAACATTCATATCTCACAAGTCATATCAATATTCTAAAAATTAATATCAAATATAAAAAAATAAATCCATCAACTATATAAGCATCCAACACCATAAAACAAAGCACAAATTTGTTTTCTTGAAAGACAAAGCAAAATGTGTTTTGTGAATGGCAAAACAAAGCACAAAAAGAAATAAATATGTTAACAAAAAACAGAAAAAACAGAGCCAAAAAAAAAAAGACGAGAGATGAGAGAACTAGACGAAGAGAGAGATGTAAACAAAGATAAGAAGAGAGGAGAGATCTAGAGGAGAAGAGAGAGAAAAAATAAAAGAAAGAACTGATATGGCTTCGTCGTTCATCTCTGCAACTAGTGCTTCGTCTTCGTCTTCGTCTCACAATCTCATTCTATCGTTGTTCGGTTAACACTTTGACTCTTATGCTTTCTTATTTTTTTATTCTTTTGAACAAAAGTTCCTTATATCGTATAATTGAGCTTTCTTTTTTGTTTATTAAGTTGCCAAAAGTACCATTTTTGGCTTAAGAAATAGAACAATTGTATTTTTTAAAACAAATATCAGTGAGGCGCACCTAGGCGCGCCTCACAAATAGGACGAGGCGCAACTGAGGCGCGCGCCTAGTAAACATCAGTGAGCCTGGGATGACAACAGGCTCTAAACTTGAGCCTCGAGCCTAGGCGTGCCTTTAACAACACTGAGTTAAAGAGAGGGAGAGCCCTCTATCAGGTCTCACACACGCGTGAGAGAAAATCCTCTTTCTTTTTGGATGACCCGTGAAAAGATCCGAATGGTTCTTTAATTTTTTTTTTTGACACATGTCATGTTGTTATTTGTCCATATCAACATAAGAAGGATAGTCCTGCTTATGCGGCCTAAGGCAAGCTTTTTCCTTTAAAGTCAGATGGTTTATTTTATCTGATTGTTCATGTTCTTTTTCCTTTTTTCCATAACAAGTTGACATTTAAAGCCAGAAACTGTGTATTATTTTAGGTCATGTTTTGCAATTATTAGCAAACCATATGTAGATAGTTGCAATGTATTAAAGTTGGACAAGTGAACACAAACTCAAGTACGAGGTCAACCACTTTGTGCAAATAATGCTAAAAAATATGTTTGTACCCATCCAGTTTATCATTACAGCACATTAGCAGAGACCAAACGAGGTAATAGTCTTTTCCTCCTTGGACCACAATCTACTATATATGCTTTGCACTTCAAACGTACTTCGAAGATAACCTGTTCCCATGCAATAGTCAGGTGTTTTTTATGGTGGCAAGGAACAAACTGTTCTTCCTCCATGCCCTAATTCAACGCCAAAGAATTTCAACCAAGATATACTCGATATTATGATGAAAACCTGACATGACAAACCTTGGATATGGATATGATTTTGTTTTTTCAAACTTCAAAGTCACGCCTCAAGCTTAAAGAACCTGCTTGACATACATCAGGTATAAAAAAGAAAATTTGCCTGATAATGAGGAACTGTCCCAACCATGCACCCTTTGAACTCCTGGCTACAATGTAAACCTCGAATATCTGCAGTCACTTGCAAATCAAGAATATCGTTTAAATCAGGACTCAAAATTAAGGCCTCAAGATATGAACTGTTAGACCCTGCCATCTGATCAAACCCAAGTATTGGAATTTTAACTACCTTGAATCTGCAAAATTAGTATAAACTCTATGCTCTTGACTTCTGTAGAACTCTTGTGGTTGCACTAAAACTTGTAAACCTCCTACATTTTGTTTGTTTCATTTGTTTATTTCTTGTAGATTGTGCAAAGCATGATCCAGAAGTGAGTGAGGACACTGAAAAGAATTTTGCGGAGCTCTTATCTGAGGAATTGAAGCTTCGGGAAGCTGAAACTTTAGAAAGCCAGCAGCGCGCTGACATGGCACTGCTTGAGGCCAAGAAGTTGACATCTCAGTACCAAAAGGAGGCAGACAAGTGCAATTCAGGGATGGAGACTTGCGAAGAGGCAAGGGAAAAAGCTGAAGCTGCTTTATTGTCACAAAAGAGACTGACTGCAATGTGGGAGCTGAGGGCTCGTCAGAAAGGATGGAAAGAAGGGGTTGCCAAGTCACGAACCCAGTCTCAGGGAAATGTACAGGCTGTTTAAAATGGTAATGGCCTAAAATGGAATTATCACACGAAGGTATTGCTTCATCTCCACAGTGAACTTCCATATAATCTCACCTCAGAACCAGGGTGATGCTTATGAATTTGATCAACTGTCTTTAGCCGTCTGATCTGGTTCTTTAATGTTCCAAGTTTAGGAGTTATATTCTTTTGAAAATATAAGTTATATTTCTTTTCATGGCCTCTTGTGCTAAAATTGCATGGCCTTTATCCAGTTTGTTTTTCCATCTTTTAACTGAGAAGTCCCATTGTTAGACTCTATAGTAGAGAATGTGAATACGTGATTGCCTTTTGTCCAATGAAAATGGTTGCCGGATATGAATATGTTATTGTTGAAGTGCCTGAACTATTTCTATATCTTTATTATTAAAATAAAAATTTAACTTGATTTGGACTATACCACCACAATTGCCGTGGTCTATACAGTTGAATTTGCTTGCTACATTATCTATGGAGTTATTTTGTTTCCAAAACGTAGCGTGGGAACAGGTTCATCTTCGAAGTACATTCGTTCTGTGATTTGATTTCTTTTCATTTCTTCCTGAAATGCCGAAAATTGCATTGATGAAGAGAAATGAATACCGAGAAATTTAGTGAAGTTTATTGTAGAGAAATCATTGTGAATAATTTATGTCTAAAAGAGTTGAATACAATATTAGCCAGAAACTAATCAATTGGCTGCTACAAAGAGACACAATGTGGAAGACTGCATGACAGCAGAGAAGAAATCCACCTCCAAATTGAATTTGCGAAAGGGCAACAGAAATGGTCCAGAGCATTATCTGCACCCCATACAATTATGGCATATAGAAGCTAGACATAATCCTCTGTTTTGTGTGCGTGTATGTGTGTTCTCCGACAGTTTCTCATATGCTTATTAAGGGTAAAGGAGTCATCTTTCCAAGTAATTGGTATGGTCATGTGCTTATGCGTACAGAGAGAATAAAATCTGAATGTTTGCAAAAAAGAGCAAGTTGGGGGATGAAGACTCCATGCTAGATTATACCATTTACTGATGCATTCTTTCTCAGGTGTAGCTCTCCATGTGACTGACTCAACCTCTTTATTAAATATTGATCCTGACACCATAAATCTGTGGACAAACAAAAGAAACACCCACCTCCAATTCTTAAAGTAGTGTTTTTTTTTTTTTTTTTTTTTTTGGATTGCGATGGTATCGTGTACTGTAATTGACTATAATTCATCATGTAGTTACCCTTTAAAAGTGAGTTATAGTCAATAGAGAAGAAAGAAAAAATAAATATTTATTATATAATACAAAAACTTATCACTCATTCAAATGTTTTAATTTAAGTAATAAATGGTATTATGGTTAAATAACATATAATAAAATAAAAGCATTGAATCAATCGATTTGAACTGCACATTTCAAGTCTAGCAAATGGGTGTTTGAATTTCTTACCAAAAAAAAAATAATAATAATAAATAAAATAAAATTAATTTTGGTTCTATTCTCAATTTTTCCAAAAAAGAAAAAAAGAGGGAAGAGGGCTTGCACTTAAACAAATGACTTCACGAAAATCAATAAAAAAAGAAAAAGAAAAAGAAAAGAAAATATGATATTGGCGTAGTAGTAGTATCTTCACGGGTCAGTTGAATGTACTGGACGAAGGCTCGTCGCAGAAAAGTCACCCAGGGAGAGAGATCCTGTGAGTTCGCTGCTATATCTATATGTTGGTGTAGGATTGACTCGACTCTGAGTTGGGTCATTGTCCTTCCGATTGTTACTGACTCGGTCTGCAAAATGGCGGCAAAAATGTTGATGGCGTCGTCCCCTTTTCTAGGGATCGCCGTCTCGGTTGCTCTCTTCTCTCTCCTCAAACAAAAACCTCCCATTCCACCGGTTTGTATTTACACTATTTGCTTATATCTATATATTAATAGAGCTATCTTATTTATTTATTTTGTGAAAAAATTAGTCTTTGCTTGCCAATATTCCTAGAGACTCTTCACCGTAGAAGAATTAGCAATCTACAATGGAACTGATGACGCCTTGCCCATTCTTCTTGGAATCATTGGGTAATCTTCGCTCTTTCTCTTTTGGCTTTGTTTTGTTTGATTGCTAAGAAAACATTATAAGGAAAAAAAGAACAGAAATTTGATTCCTGGGGCCTGGGCGGCTATTTTTTAGAGATTTCTGGTTTTACGATTCAATTTTTCCTAGGTTTCTCGCCAATCAAACAGAAGTTATGTTGTTTATTTTTAGTCTTCTGTTGTGTTTTTGTATGAGATGGATTTTAGTGAGTCATAATTTATAAAATTCTACTTTTGGGTGAAATAATCAGCTCAGTGTTCGATGTAACAAAAGGAAAAGCTCATTATGGTCCGGGAGGAGGTTACAGTCATTTTGCTGGAAGGTTTGTTCTTTTTATTTATTTTGTTTGGCTCCTTCAGTTCTTGTTAATTATGCCATATACATTTCTATATCGAGTGTTGCTTCAAACCATTGGCATATATACATAAAGGAACACTGTATGATTCTGGTCCCATTACAACAGGATCGTGATTGGGGTCCCCCATAGTTAAGCATGCTTGGGCAAGAGTAGTACCAGGATGATCCCCTGGAAAGTCGTTGTGTTGCACCCGTTTTGGCTGGTTTTTTATGCCAACTATTCTATATGGGCCAGAGTGTTGGAATTAAAAAAATAATAATAATAAGAACAACACATTCATATAGCAGAAATGAGAATGTTAAGGTGAATGATCGGAGTGACTAGAAGAGAGAGGATCACAAATGAAAGCATGAGAGAAAAATTAGGAGTGACACTCACTAGTGAGAAAATAAGAGTGAGTAGACTTAGATGGTATGGACACATACAATGAAGATCTGTAGATGCGCCAATTAGAAGAGGAAGATTAGTTTGCCATAGAAGGGAAGAGACAGAGAAGACAGACTCAAATTATTGTGGGGTGAAGCTATTAAAAATGATTTTAATAAGCTAAATATAAGAGGTGAGATGGCGTATAATAGAAAAGAATGGAAAAAATGAATTCATGTGGCTGACACCATTCATATGGGATTAAGGCAAGGATGATGACGACGACAACAACTTAAAAAAAGGTTATGCTAGACCATTTTATGTATCTGATAACTCATAGGGTCACAAGGGTTGTTAGTTGTTACCCACTGTGGTTCTTGTTTATTGAGGGTGTCATGAGGGGAAAACTAGATACAAATCTATTTTTTTTACATTATTCACACAAAGTGAATGCTCTTATGATTTGGATCTGCATTTTCGCATGTGATAACTGATCATTTTACCAAAATATCAGACAATGGCCCCTGTTTCTAATAACTCAACGTGTAAAATTTTATATCAATACTATGTAAAAAAATTTGCCATGGCGTTGTAGTAAGGAGGTGTGTGCAACTTTGTATGATATTATCAGGTTGAGCAAACTGAAAGAAACATGGGCATTAATTGTTTTCTGAGTAGATCGTGTTTTTATTGATAGAACTTCCAACATTACATGGTTAAGGAATTTTCTTTCTTAAATGTTTCAAACTCATGCGAATCGATGCCACATGCTTTGGTAAAATGATAGGGCCCTTCCCGGGCTGGACCTAATTTTCCAATGCTTGCATCTTGTGTGTCTTGGATCACCATTCTTAGATACACCTCTCCTTTGAAGCTTCAACAATCTGACATAATATTCAATTGCACGTCTCTTTGATTGTTTTTGTGGATACTTGTCTGACTTGTATACTAACATTTTTCACCTTTTCATTTTTAATGATCTCAGGGATGCTTCACGTGCATTTGTTTCAGGAAACTTTACAGGTAAAATTGCTTAGGGAAGAAAAAAAAAAAATTACGGGTAAAATTGGTGGATTGTGTATTTATTTACTTATTTTTCTTCTAACACTGATTTCATGGATATTTCTAGTTTGTTAGTCCTTTGTTTCAGGAATTTTCATAGGTAAAATTGGTGGATGATGTATATATTTGTTCACATATTTCAGCTTTGCTTCTCTTTCTAATTCTTTCTGTCATTTTGTTGACATAGGAGATGGTCTTACTGATTCATTGCATGGTTTATCTAGCCCCGAGGTAATCAATGTTGTTTGCCTTTCCTCATTATCATAGTTTGCAAAAATTACAATAGAAGGCTTTAGCATACAAAATTTGCCAACACCTAGACACTAAAGTCTAACAGACTAGAGCATCCCTCTTCTCTCAAATTCTCCATAACCCATCAATAAGTGCTTGGCTGTTCTGCATCATGCTATATGTACTGGTTCCCTATGCACTATTTGCAGCATTTTAGATTTTCTCCCCGTTTTACTTTAGAGTGTGTTTCTCAATTTGACATCGTCGCCTTGTTTTTAATGTACCTGTGCATTGTCATACTATTTATACAATAGACACATCCCTAAAAAAGCGAGAAAAGGAGCAAATACTTCCTCATCCAAACTATTTGGAATTGGTTTCATACAATTTTTGTTGCATGCATCATTTTTTTAATGCAAATTCATGACATATGCATCATGTTTGATGCTTCTGTAACTCTAAAGAGCTTTATGTTACTTGATTCATGTCTATAGGTGAAGAGCGTTGTTGATTGGCGAGATTTCTACTACAGGACATACACGTGAGTTATATGTTGTCTGGGTATCTTTTCTTTTGAATGCTGTGGAAAGTTGGAAATTAGTTGGATAGAAAATGACTAAAGGGAAGAAAAACTACCCTGCTTAACCTAAGTTCTCATTTGTGTTTGGCATGAGTCATTGTAGCTAGAAACTTTATTCAGTAGAGCCAAAATTTATTCTTGTATTCGTTGCTTCCAAAACTTATTGATTGGTATAAAATTTTCAGAAGCTCATTTTGTCCGCCACAAGGAGGATTAAATGAAAATAGATAAAAAGCATATTCTAGGAGTCATAGGATGAAACAACATAATGTGTGTGTGTGTGTGTGTGTGTATAAAGTTCATGAAAGTATATTAAAGGGTGGGTTTCAATGGATAAGCAGGAATTGATTGAACAAGATACGAGTTCTAAGGGACATGGTTTTGGAGAAAGAAATGAACCAATCTAAATAATTTGCAAAGGTACCTAGCCATAGCAAATATGTTATTAAAAAGCAAAACATTTATACCAATTCATTATTGTTTACATAGAAGACGAGAGTTGACCACATGTAAAGAAAATGTGAGGTTTTCTGTGCAGAAAGTTTACATATAACATTGACTACTGATGCTAATACTGGATTTAGTTATCAAATGATTTAAATATTGAAGTGTAAGCAAAGGATATCAGAACATAAAATGAAAAGAACTGAATGGTAACAAAAGTTAAAGTCCAAAGAGAAATTATTTTTAGAGAAGCAATGGAATTGGAATGACAATATAAATATTTTACGCTTAAGAACAGCTGAATATATGAGAAATGTGGTTAAAGAAACTTTTGGAGGGACTAAATGGAAGAAATCTATAAGAAAGAAACATAGTGGTGTAATGATAAAATTCAAAGAATGACAAAACGGTAAGAAACAAGAGGATTTAGAAAGATATAATAAACTAAAAAATAATACACAGGGAAATGTGAATAGAGCCAAATAATTAGTATATGAAAATAGTTCAGAAATTAAAAGGTAGTACAAAGGGAAGTGTTACAGGAAAACTAGATACAATGGAGGCTAGAAAGGGTAATTTACAAATGAACAAAAGAGAAATAGGTTTACTATAGGGAGATCAATTAAATGCATTGACAACATACGTGTATCGAACAAGTAATATTAGTTAAAGAAAGTCATTCTATATAGATGAAAAATTATTTTCAAGATTCTTACGTGAGGAAATCCTAAAGAAGGGACCGGGAGTAGTGTGCCTATTACAAGTTTGATGAGTCAAATAAATCATACAGAGGTAGAGGAATCACTCAAAAATATGGGGAGTAGTAAGGCTATAGGTCTAGAGGATATACCTGTTGAATCTTGGTAAATTCTAATAACTGTAAAATTGAATGATTAAACATACTAATGAAACAAAATTTTGAAGGAAGGCGGTGTCAAGTAATCGTTGTAGAATTTTACAATTAATAATACAAAATGTTTGGGTAATAGATGATGATATAATAAGCAGAATTGGAACATATTGAGTAAAATGGTGACAAACTAATGTCATCTTATGTGATAAGAGTATATTAAATACGTTGAAAAAGAAAATTCTAAGGGCCAGTTATAAGGGGACCTGTTTTTAAGGAACAAAATGTTGATTATTTAAAAGGAAACAAGAACAATGCATCAGTATTGCTGAATTGAGAATGTTGAGATTAATACGTTGAAAAAGAAAATTCTAAGGGCCAGTTATAAGGGGACCTGTTTTTAAGGAACAAAATGTTGATTATTTAAAAGGAAACAAGAACAATGCATCAGTATTGCTGAATTGAGAATGTTGAGATTAATACGTTGAAAAAGAAAATTCTAAGGGCCAGTTATAAGGGGACCTGTTTTTAAGGAACAAAATGTTGATTATTTAAAAGGAAACAAGAACAATGCATCAGTATTGCTGAATTGAGAATGTTGAGATTAATAATACAAAATGTTTGGGTAATAGATGATGATATAATAAGCAGAATTGGAACATATTGAGTAAAATGGTGACAAACTAATGTCATCTTATGTGATAAGAGTATATTAAATACGTTGAAAAAGAAAATTCTAAGGGCCAGTTATAAGGGGACCTGTTTTTAAGGAACAAAATGTTGATTATTTAAAAGGAAACAAGAACAATGCATCAGTATTGCTGAATTGAGAATGTTGAGATTAATAATAGGAGTACCTAAAAGTGACACAAGAAAGTAGGTTAGGTTTCATAGATCTATACAACGTAAACAGGCAGATAAACTAAGACAAAAAGAAAAATTAGCTAGAATAGAAAGTAAGAGATAAAGAAGCATACTAATATAAACATGAGATGAAATAATAAGAATAAACGTTAAGAAATTAGATGTAATCAAGACATAAATTGTAATAGAAAAAACTTAAAAGTCGTCAATTGTGGTCAAAACAAGAATGATATTGATGATGATAGCTATTAAGTTTTGCACTTTTGAGTGATTGAGCATAAATATATTTGAGGGCTGACATATTTGTGTATAGCATGTCATTTTTTGAGGGTTGAAAGGAATCGGTGCAACATTGAAGCTTCCTTTTTTTTTTTTTTTTTGCGGGCAAAAGTTGATGTTTACTTGGTCTTGAATTGTGATTGTCAGATTTGTTGGCAAGCTAGTGGGGCGTTACTATGATAGCCAAGGCAATCCTACAAAATATTTGAAAGGGGTGGAAGCAAAGGCTGCTAGAGGTGCACAGCTGATGGAGAAACAGAAGAATGAAGAAGCTAAATTACCTAGCTGCAATTCAAGGTGGAGTCAAGAAACGGGTTCAGAGGTATGAGTTTTATAACTTTATGTTTAAAATCCAGACCAGTCATTGCCTGCCCGAAGATCCCACCAATTTTCTCTAAAATTTCTAACTAATCTTTGCCAGATTGTTTTTTTAATACTTCTTCCTTCCAAATTTCCAATTTTTATTTTAATTACTTATTTTGCTTTTAAGAAGGATGCCACTGCCAACACATTGTGGTACTGAGATGTGGTTTACTACAGTGCATTTGGAATGCATAAAATAATAGATTAGTCACCTCACAAAGAATTGGAGGCTTCTGTAATTTTCATTGAGCTCTATCTCACTTTGGACTGTTTTGGCCAGGTTTGGTGCGACATAGGCTATCCAAGGTTAGTCCAGAGACCACTAGAAATAGCTTTGACTGGGAAAATGAGTAAACGCTGCGTCTGCTTAAGAGATGACGAACTGGATCAGCCAGGATTAGAAATCTATGAAGGATGTGACTATTTCGGCACGCTATGCCGACTTTAAGGATTGTAAAATTCACGTCCCTGTAGATTTTAAGTTTATAAATGTGTTAAAAACAAATATTCCAGTGACTGACAAGCCAGATATAAGAAAGCAGAAAAAAAAAAAAAAAAAAAACATCAAAGCAATATTACAGTCTGGAAGAAAAAAATTAACTCCATTGAGGACACGTTTTGTAGCTAAATGAACTACGTTTTGTAATTTATTATGTACATTTTATACTATTGATGATTTTTGTTTTCTTTTTTACAACGTTCTTTGTTGATTTGAATCATCTCATTGGATTAGATTTGTGATGTTTGAGTAACAACAATTATGGTAATTTAACATCTTATTCATCTCTGCTTGGAGGCAGCAGAAAGCTCTCTTGATCTGTGAGGGCACTTGAACAAAACAAAATGACCATTCCATTGATAATTGCAATGTAATTACATGTGGAGAACTTTAAAACATAAAAACACACTAAAATACGTAAAAACAGAAATACAACAAGAAATTGAAAATCCTGCACTTAAAAACTAGGAAACATGAACACAAACTTCATCTCCATCATTACAACCACCAGCTTCATCATGCTCGGGCTTATCAGAAAATTAAAGTATCATGTAGTATGTCCGCCGACATGCAGCCAGTTGCATCGAGTTGTGCTGCCAACTTCACTTCATAGTCACAAGATTTAATGTTGGCTTAGGATCCAACAGATGCTATATCCGATAGATCTAGTGAGGTGGTGAAGCAGCACATTCTGGCCTCTACATGCAGCTTGACTCCGAAGAGTTTCTTTGGACTTCAATGTCAATTTATCATTTTTTTTTTTTTTTTTTCGATCGAATAACATTTATCAATTTCATTTGCAACTCCAACACATGGTTCGGGATCTTTCACTTGGTCGAAATCCAATATGTTAGTGGAAAATCCGAAAAGGAAATGCATATAGCTTTTTCCTTTCGTCACATGCCTTTGTCTTTGTTTTCACGATAGACTGAGGACAATGTGGCAACATCCATTCCAAGCGATGCTGAGGAAGCCTGCCTTCATATTTGTGAGGGTGGAGGTTGTACGACAACAATGTTGAGTGGCCAAGGTTTGGCATGAGGTCAAGCGTGGGGCTAGAGGAAAATTAGGATCACTAAGGTTGTGTGTGTATCATCAACGGTTTTGGCCTTAATATGCGCGCGCGTGTAGGGAGAGAGGTGCCTAATCAAAATTGACAGAGCTTCAATTCACAATGTGACAATCATGAAGGGGAGTAAAAACAGAAGCCCAGTGGATGCCTGGAGAGGTCCTTGAAAGAGAAATCGATTAAATAGAGTAAGACACAGAGGCGGTGTATGCGTGTGAGAGACATACCTTATCGCGTGAGTTACATCACGTGAGAGATAGAGAAGCGAGGTATCTTGGATGGGTAGAAAGAAGAGCGGGACTGGGAGAAAAGGCCAGATTGGTTTTTGTTTGAGCAAATTTTTAATCAGTGAATTTGTGGCTATAGGATAAACCAAGGTATAGGCTCAAGTTGACCGCTGGCATATCTTCGCGGTGCAATACAGTGGCGGTATTTCCAAGGGTTGATAATAACAGTCACCAGTAAGTACCCTTTCAGCCATTCCTGTAGCTTCTCCTGGCACTTGAAAAGAAATTGTCAGCATTAAATTAGTTTTTGTAGTTTGAGCAACTGCCATTGAACTTTTATCTCATTACCCTGCAAAATCCCATCAATACGCAATCAAATTTCCAGAGGACAAAGAAGTAGTAAATATGTTCAACAAAACACATATGATTGCTCCAAGCATGGGTATTTTATATGTTCAAATCCTTGTGAAAACCCATCTCTTCAATTTCATTATATGCATCGAACTAGCAACTTTTTTCAAGGCAAATGGCCTTTTAGTCTGGGCACGTTTCTTGATTAAACTCTCTCATCTTTCAAGCTATGCTGCGGGCAAGAATGGTATCTATCTTATCATGCAACTTCAGTTTTGCTGTGGTCAATCAGGAGGATCAGATCATATGGAAAAGAAAGCCATGGCTGAGTGATACTTTTCTAGGTAAATTCAATGCTGCCGGTATAACAAAAAAGAAAAAGAAAAAGAATAACAATGAGAAACATACCTGTATCAGGCAGCTAATGGGAAATAACGCAACAAAGAGCAAGGCACAAAAAAGAACAGAAAAGAAGAAGCAATACTCCCCATAACAGAACCTTCCCTCCCATCTGCCAAAACACATTCAATAACAGCACCTATCAGAGATCCATCATTGTCAAGATAAATGTATGTGCTAACAACAATCTACTCACAAAGCTTAAGCTTTTAGAGATGGTGTAACTTTCCGCATATACTTCCCATGGACTTTTTTAAAAAATAAAATCCAATTTTCAACAGTAAAAGAACATTGAAAGCCCCAAAACACTGTAAACCACAATGAGATGGATGGGTTTGTAAGATTATGTCAATAAAAAGGAAACTGATCAAATATCATTCCACAGATCATTTAATCCCAATTCAATGCCAAATCAAAAAGTAACTTCAAAGATACAATCCAAAGTACTTTGAATTAAAATCCCTATAATGATTTATACATATAAAATAAAATAAGATGCAAAAAAAATAGTTTTGACAATAGTTCTACACCCTAACATGAAGCATCTACAAACCATACTGCCAAAATGGAAGAACACCTACATTATACCGAAAATCCTAGATCCCAAAAAGCTACAGCCATAGCCTCAACCATAACCAACAAAAATCAGAATTTTAAATCCTATATCAAAATAATTTACAAATATCCAAACTGATTCTTCAAAACATATATTCAAAATTGAAAATCCTCCAATGATCAATAAATATATCATGCAAATACCAATAGAAAGAAATAAATAACAAGATAGGAGAAACTTACAGGAACTAGGGAGACATCAAAGATTCTGGATAGAGCTTAGCTGGTCGCCGTTTTGGGGTCCTTCAACAGCTGTCAACCATGGAGAGGGAGTGATAGGAGGGGTGAGTTGTGAGGTTCAGAGTTGCATTCTAGAGAGATATCGAAAGTTCCAGAGAGAGCAAGAGATTGAAGATATGTAACATCATCCTCTGGGAGCTTCATCAGTTGCCTATTTGGGGTTCTTCAATAGTCATCATCGATGGAGAGGGATTGACAGAAGGGTTTAGTCAGTGTAAGAGAGAGAGAGAGAGATTGAAAAGGTTATATATATATATATATATATATAAGTCCTTTTTTACTCCAATTTCTGGCTTTAGAGATAAAGAAGGACGTGAACTTTTTGTACGTCATATGCCTACCTTTTTTGAAACATTTCCAGTTGTTTTGATAGACGGAGATGGTCACCTGCTTAGTGTCCATCCAATGCATCCGCTATGGTTATTTCATAACCCCCCTCTTTTCTTTTCGTACAATTTTGCTTACTATACCCGTTGTTGTATTGCTATGCAAATAAACTGTAGCTTTCTAGTGTTTTGAGCGAAAAAGAATTTAATTACTTGCTTTTAGCTCGTACATGTTTCTTTCAGTTGCTTCCAACTTTTACATAAAAACAAATACTAACCAAACAATGTTTCCCCTCTTCTTTTCGTTTTTTAGGCTTTGGCAACAAAACATGAAATGGCACAAACTACTCCTTGTGTGTGGATTGCCTTTTTCTTTTTTTTTTCACTTTTGAGCGTAACTCAATGAGGAAACTGAAATGGAACCTTACAGAATAATCTTCCTAATCAATCCATGATGTTTCAATATGTCCACCATAGCAATAACACCTTTCAAAATTTGATGAAATCTTCTACATTGTGAAATGACCCAACTTCAACCAAAATCAAAATTAAAAATCATTTGATTTCTTTCATATGTTAGTTGTTGATAAGGGCAAAGATGAGTTTGGTCCATTCATGAGCCAGTTAATTCTGACTAAGGTCCCATGTCGTTTCTGAACTTTCTGTATATACAGGATATTGCTATCTGTGTAATTTAAGTATATAATCTTAACAGGGCAGTAGTAAGCTATAAAGATTTCAAGCAACACAAGTCAATAAGTAGCACAAACGGAAAGTTCAGCTACACATAATCTAAGAGTACCATCAAAATGAAATTTCATCTATGCAAAATTCAAAAGATTAATTATCTTTTCTTTTTGTTCTCCATTGTCATGTTCCTATCCTTTTTAAAAAACAAAATGGTGCAAAACATATGGACAAAAAAGCTTCCAATTTTCGCAGCAACAGAAACATGCAAGCTGGACAAGCAAACGAAAAAAGAGAAAAAGGAAGGAGCACCAAACCAGCAAAAGTTAATATCTTCACAAAAGTTAATATCTTCATGAACATCCAACTGTCACTGAATGGTTCTCATCGATCTGTGCCAGTACCATTTGGCCAGTTGAGGAACTTATAACCTTGAAGAGATGGTGGTAAATAGGTCTGGGATGATGAAGGATTGTCAGGAGGGTAGATATAACCCTTCCCATACCCAATTTCCTTCATTAGCTTAGTTGGTGCATTCCTCAGATGGAGTGGCACTCCCTCATTCTGCCCAACTGATTCCCTCACCACCTTCTGTGCAGCCCCCAATGCTTGATAAACGGAAACCGATTTAGGAGCCAAAGCCAAGTAAGCAACACACTGCGCTAGGTTCACATTGCACTCTGGCATGCCAAGAAAATGGCAAGCTTGGTAGCAGGCAACAGCCTGATTGAGAGCAGACGGGTCAGCCAATCCAACATCTTCACTCGCAAACCGGATGAGTCGGCGTGCAATGTAGAGGGGTTCTTCACCACCTTCCAACATCCTAGCCAGCCAATAAATGGATGCATTAGCATCGCTTCCCCTCATGGACTTGTGGAGTGCACTGATGAGATTGTAGTGCTCTTCACCTGCCTTGTCATAAGCAAGATGCTTGCTTTGAAGTGCCTCTTTGGCATCATCAAGAGTGACTGTGACCACATTTCCTCCTCCTCCTCCTCCATTGCCATCTTTATCACCTGAAACGGATTGCAATCGTGCCAAAGCTGTTGCAGAAGAAACTTCCAAAGCATTCAAGGCCACCCTACCGTCCCCATCACAATTTTCCGAAAGAAACTCAATGGCTTTATCATCAACCACAATAGATTTCATCCCCATACTCCTGGCCAACCCCTTTTCGGAATCAGCAGCAGCTCGCCGGAGCAGAGTGGCAACATGGTGAGGCTTCAGAGGGTTAAGGGTCAGAACTCTGCAACGGGACAACAATGGCGTAATCAAATGAAAAGACGGGTTCTCTGTGGTGGCACCCATGAAGACGACACTCCCATCTTCGATCACAGGCAAGAACGAGTCCTGCTGTGACTTGTTAAACCTGTGAACCTCATCCACGAACAGAACAGTTCTCTTGTTATGCTTCAATTTCTGTTTCTTAGCCTCCTCCACAGCGTCCCTAATGTCTTTGACCCCAGAAGTTACAGCCGATAAAGCAACAAATCGATAGGAAGAAGAAACCGAGGAGGAATTGACAATGGCTCTGGCAATGGAAGTCTTACCAGTACCAGGTGGACCCCAGAATACTATGGAGAAGAGACGATTGCAATCGATGGCGGAGCGAAGGAGGGAGGTGGCGGCGAGAAGGTGGTCCTGACCCACAACCTCGTCGACGGTACGAGGACGCATACGCTCCGATAACGGTTGATGGGGTGGTCTGTCTTCCACATACGGAACTGAAGAAGAAGAAAGAGAATTTCTTTTCGTTGTTAATGGGTGTTGGTGGTGGTGGTGTTTGGGACGCTTTCGTTGCTCTGCGTCATCTTCTTCCTCTTCTTCCTGTTTGAGGTGGTGGTGAGTTGATTCTTCCTGTTTCTTGAGTTGGGTTTTGTGTGTGGTTAATTGGGATGATGGTTTGGAATGAAAGTTAAAAAATCGGTCAATTTTGGGCTGAAAAGGAGTTGATGCATCGGCGAGGATGGTGGGGGTGGTGGTGGTGGTTGTGGTGGGGCTAGGGTTTAAGGTGGGGTTAGAATCAGTTTTGTGGTTGAGAATCCATTCGGTGGCTTTGACGATGGATTTTCCACCGGTGGCAGCGAGGGCTTCAGCGGCCAACTCGTCGGGGAAGCCCATGCTCAGAAGTTGCTGCATTTCCATCTCCTCCCTCCTCCTTTCCTTCTTCTCCCCCGCCCAGTGGAAAATAAAAGACCAAAGGGAGAGGGAAGAGACTACGGCAAAAGTTGGGTTTTTATTTTTATTTTTTATATATATATTTTTTTCTTTTTAGCCCGGGAAAAAAAAAATTTGTTAGACAATTAGGAAATAGGAAACAAATAAAGCACAGTGGTATTGTAGTAAATTCCTCCTATATGAAAAACAAAATAAATGAAGGAAAATTTTGACAAGTGAATAAAAAAGAGAGAGAGAAAAATTCACCAAGTATACATTTGATTAGATAAAAATTAATGATAGAGTGAAAATTAAAGACATTTAAGTAATTGAAAGAAAAATAAATTTTTTTATCATACATTTATTAGCATGAATTTTGTTAAGAAAATTGTGTGAAAGTACAATTTAATACCTTAGTATGAAAATTATAAGCATATATTTTTAATTAAATTATTCTAGGTAAGATGTTTATATTAATTTATGTCAAGCAAATATTTTTTGTCTTTTATAAAAAGTAATTATAAAATTTAAATAAATAAATTTACATGACATAATGAGAGAAGCACGAAAAATCATTTATGTTCATGATTTTACATTATCTTTTTAGACTTTTCTAAAATAAACAAATACAAATGTTCATGATTTTACACTATCTTTTTAAACTTTTCTAAAATAAACAAATAAAAACTTGTATCATTGTGAAAAATAATACTAAATCAAATGAATTTTTTTTCAAGATAACTAGTGACAAGACCGTGATACTAAACTCTTACTTGTTAAATGGAGGATATAAATGTGTGTACCAACTAAAAAATAAATATTTTACTCCTAATAAATCATAGAAGGAGGAAGATTGGACAAATTCTATTTCTCCCACTTCCACTTAATTTATAGTAGTCCACTCCTGATAAATCATAGAAGGAGGAAGATTGGACAAATTCTATTGCTCCCACTTCCACTTAATTTATAGTAGTCCACCATGTCTTGTGCCCTTTAATTGTTGTCAAATTAATGCAGATGAGTTCATTTAAATTAAGACAAATTCTTTTCTTTTCTTTTTTCCACTTATATTTAATTTATGTTGTCGCTCAGCATTAATTTTCAAATAAATGTTGTCAAATATGAACATTTCCTAAAACAACTTTTATTGTTTTGTTTATAAACATGTTTATTAACGGTGACATAGGACTGTCCGTGTTCCATTTTTTATCACTGTTCGATGGAATTCGTGTGGCCCAAAGGCTGGTGCGTGAAAAGCCGATCAGACGTGTCCTGTTCAAGAACCATCATTTGACGTTGAGGAGAACATTTTCTCTTTTACTACGTTTTTCACAAATCCTAGAAAGAAAATACAGGTGTGTGGTTGAGTTTTTTCCGCAGAATAATTTGGAATTCTATTTATAATTTGGAGATTTTGAAACACCATTTTGAGATTTCCAATCGTCGGTCCTTACTTCTATTGTGTGAACAATACCAGTAAATAATAATAATTGATGGCTCTGCATATCAGTGTGAGCAGTGCGTGTTTCTGTGGTGATTTCATTCACAGGAAGGTTCAACGAATCAGAGCCGTCGCTTCCGAGGACTTCACCACCGTGAAGACAGAAGAAGATAAGGTGAAGTTAGGGGGGTCCGAGTTGAAGGTGACGAGGCTTGGCATTGGAGCTTGGTCATGGGGTGACACCAGCTACTGGAACAACTTTGAATGGGATGGTAAGTTGCACAAACCAACTTATCAAGAAACCAAATTAATAGAAACTGAGATTTTAAATACCCTTTTCACACCAGTGTTCAATTTCATGGTGAAATAATTTATTGTGATTTTTATTGTGTTTTTATGAATTGGGTTTATTTATTTTTAATTTTAACAGTGTGATGGGTTTGTATTTTTAGCTCTCACTTTGTAAAAAGAAGGCATTTTTTAATTTCTTATACGGCATGAGCATTGTTGATGCTTTCTTGTTCAGTAAATTGTTCATTAAGTTCATGTTTAGACCTTTTACTTCCTTATGTTGAGTAGCCGGTGGTTGTGTGGAGTTGCTATACTGAATTGAGTCCATGGCAGAATCAATAGGTCTTCAAATTGTTCATTTGAAAAAATCGAAACCCTTCTTTTAAACTACAAACGGCAACAAAAGATGTGGTGCTTTAGATGATTGAATACTTGAAAAGAATTATGCTAGCAACAGCAGGTGATTTTCGCGTCTCCCCCGTTGATGAGGTGGGACACGTGTGAGAGTCACAAATATCACTGGCACTGCTATGCTTGAAGTTTGTAGTTTGAATGTTTATGTTTGGACTTCTTCTTGTTGATTGAACAGGTTCTTGTGCTTATGCTAGTGCTTAGAACGAGCCTATGGTGTTCTATGATAGGAATTGAGAGATATTTAAGGGTTCTGTAAACACTGTGATTTTTGTTTTTGTTGCATGATTACTTTGTTTCTCAATAGTTAATTAATTGAATGTAACGAAGCAATATGTACTGGAATGTGGTCGTTCAGTTTTTATGAGATGTTAACAGTGGCCCCAATCTTTTTCTTTATTCGTCTTTTTTAGACCTGTTATTCCCTGTTGGATTCTTGGGGATTTCCCCTTTTTTCCCCTTATGGATAGCAGTTAAAATTTCTCGTCTCTGGTTTGATTTGCTTTCCATTGCATATATAATGTGCTGCTTTTTCATGTTCTTAAGTTGGATGACAATACTGTCTGATTTTTTTTTTTTTTTTTTTCGTGATGGTAGATAGGAAGATGAAGGCGGCTAAGGCTGCTTTTGATACCAGTGTTGATAGTGGTATTACCTTCTTTGACACTGCTGAGGTTTATGGCTCAAGGGTGAGAAATGATATTGATTTGCATTTTTTTTCTCCTCCTGATTATGTGAAACAGCTCGAAAATGTTATTGATTTGCATTTTTTCCCCTTTTAATTATGTGAAAAGCATGTGATCTAAAAGAACCATTATAGAACCATAATTTTCTTGTGCTGCAGTTCTCAATGGGTGCAATCAATTCTGAAACTCTACTAGGAAGGTAAATTCTGAGAATTTTAACGTGCTTTACATTTCGTTTTACACGCTTGACAAAGGTGGTACCCTTCTCATAGTGAAATTTCCATTTTCTGATTAAGATTCATCAAGGAAAGAAAAGAAAGGAATCCCGAAGTGGAGGTTGCTGTTGCAACCAAATTTGCTGCATTGCCATGGAGGCTGGGCCGTCAGAGCGTCCTCACTGCCCTTAAGGATTCCCTATGTCGTCTTGGGCTTTCTTCCGTTGAACTCTATCAACTGCACTGGTCTGCCTTTATTAAGCTTTTGACTATCATTTATCTTTGAATTTCTGTCAAATAAATAGTAACTAATCCATGTGTTTCTGTGAAATTTTCAGGCCAGGAATTTGGGGAAATGAAGGTTGTTAATTTATGATACCAATGTTTTTCAACAATATAGTATCAGGAATTGGACGTTTGTAATTCCGATCATGCTCAGGTTCACAAGGGGCTCGGTTTAATGGAAAATCATTTTCAGGATATATTGATGGTCTTGGAGATGCTGTGGAGCAGGGCCTTGTGAAAGCTGTTGGGGTATCTAACTATAGTGGTATATCTCTTATTTTCAGCTGCCCTTTGTTGATTCAAGTTCTATTTAACCATACATATTGTTTTGTTTATCAATTATTGTTTTCATTTTCTTAAATTTGGCATAAAACTGATCTTTATATACTCGTTATATTAATGAATTTTGCAAAAGTTCCCAGTACTTTCCTCCTTTACATGTGAAATTTAGGATGACATGGCTCTTTATTTCAGAAAAGCGCCTTCGCAACGCGTATGAGCAGCTTAGTAAGAGAGGTATCCCACTGGCTTCAAACCAAGTCAATTATAGTCTCATATACAGAATTCCGGAGAATAATGGTGTGAAGGCTGCCTGTGATGAACTTGGGATCACATTGATTGCATATTCACCTATCGCTCAAGGTGAAAGACCAATTATTTGTATTCTTGCTTTACACTTATATATGCACAGTACGTTTTCTTTTTCCATTTTCGTTTGATACGCAATCAAAAAACATTTCCCTGAACGATTTGGGTATGCTAGATGAGTGTTATCAGTTCATTTCATGTATTTAAGGCCTTGCAATGAGCTCAAAACGAAAAGGAATCAATGCAATTAAACACTCAACTCTGCTGCTGATGATCAACAAACTTGCAGACCCACAAATATACTCTCCATGGTTGTTCGATTGCTCCTTTATCTTCACAAAAATGCCCGGTTGACTGATTTTACGATAATTTCTGATATGCTTCTTGCTATTACTCACTCAATACGGAGTGTGGTGAACTATGAAAACCCTATACTGATGTTCAAACGCTCTCTCTAAAATACACTCTTAAAACACATACTATCTGCCCAAATTTATAGTCAATATGGGAGTCCTAGTCATAATAAAAAACACATGTCAGACAAAAATGTAATTTTTGTGGGTTTCTATAACCTCTTTGCTAATGATTGATCGATTGTTCTACGAGTTCGATCAGTCGAAATTCAACAATTTTGATTGACCAAAATTACAATGTCAGGCTTGGCAGCACTCCGGCCTGTAGATTGATAGGTTTGATCAATTGTTCCTCACTGCCTTTTCAGTTGAAATCCTATTCAAATGTTCCATCGATCCATCACAATATTTGATTGATTGAGCTTCCAAAATTTGAAAAACTTGATTAATAGTCTATTTGAGCTTTTTAATAATTAAATCTAGGTCATTGGTGGTCCAACTATCTAATGAATTATTCCAACCTAGATTCCTATACCGCTAAGGTCTCATCTTACCTATGTGATTGAGTTTTGATGAGCTTTCAGCTTAATCTTTATAGTTGTTTTAGCTTCATCATTTTCTTCAGGTGTCGTCATACTGATTCAAGATATTTTATCCAACCTGCAACCCTAGCACATTTTGCCAAGGAATTTATGAACATATGACTCGAAATCCTAACACTCGTGACCTGGAACATTGACCTATTTATTTCCAGTGGATCAGCCTTTTTTTGTATAGTCTAAGTATGGGAAAACCATAGATCCATTACATTGACATATAGGCTTTGAATTCATGCAGGTGTGCTGACAGGAAAGTACACGCCAGAAAGCCCTCCCACTGGTCCTCGAAGAAACATTTACACCCCTGAGTTCCTAACAAAGGTAAATCCTTGGAGATATATGGTGATTCAATACCCGAGTTTCGTACTCAATTTTATTGAATATATATACGTATACATGTGTGTGTGTGCAGCTCCAACCTTTGATAAACAGAATCATGGAGATGGGACAAAACTACAACAAAACTTCTACACAGGTTTTTTCTTGTTCTTTTTACTAGCATATCTAAGTTAATCAAGTAATCTCATAAACTCTAGGATCTATTTGTTTCCATATTACATGTTACTACAGTCTACAGCCTACAGGTATATAGTACAAAAATTACTATTTGGCATTTTTCATGTCAGTGAAGTCGACATGAGTATCAGTCACTTTAGTTTCCAATTGTACTCCACAATTTGTTCAGATAACTTGTTTACAAGTCATGATCTGATTCATTTGTTAGTTTCTTTTAATATGCATAACTTGATCTCTCTAGAAGTGCTTGAAACTACATTCATATGTATATATATATATATATATATATATATATATATATATTTATGTCTTGAAACTAATAGTACTTAAATAGCCCTATATTAGATTATAAAACTTCAGTAACTCTAGTTGAGGAATCGAAACATATTTTGTGATGCTTACCAGTAATAAAGAATTTCTTGTGATTACCCACATAATTGATTCTTCATGCGAAGCTAGTTTGATAGGCGAGTTCTCTTCTTCAGGTAGTCCTCAATTGGTTAATATCCCAGGGGAATGTTGTACCGATCCCTGGGGCAAAAACCGCTGAGCAGGCCGAAGAGTTCGCTGGTGCCCTAGGTTGGAGGCTCACCGATGAAGAGATCGAGGAGCTGCGTTCTTTGGCATCACAGATACAACCCGTTATCGGTTTCCCAGTTGAAAAGTTATAGATTTTAGCACAAGCATTTTGCACACAAACGTCTTAGTTTGTTAAATTGTAAAAGTACATTTCTCTACCAGTGACCGATACTGAAATGTCTACACATATTAGTATGTCAATGAACCACAGCAATCTTTGAGTCGATGCTTGTAGGTCATTTTCATCCATAGTCCCTTCTCTGTTTACTTAGTTGTAAATTACACTTACTGAATGGTGATGCACTTTAAAAAGTTTTATGCTTTTGAAAGTAGCAGTTGATGCCATGTCTGATTTGTTGAAATTTTACTATTGTTAAAGAATCAGTTACACTGAGAGGTAGGACATTATTAGATTTAAGTGGGTTAGGGCATTGATGGATAAGATGTGGCTGTTATATATATTGGTTTGTTATATCATTTAGGTCAAATTGTGCTAAACCTCCTTGTATTATCATAAAGTGGCAAAATACTTCCTCCTCACCTTTTTTTTTTTTTTGCATCAAACACGTTCAATTTATTAAAATTTGCAAATTACCCCCTCTGGCAGTAGGACGTTGGAAGGATGGTGTGATAGTGGTCACAAGCAATAGGTTGATTGTTTTGACGAAAATATTCTTACACATTAATAAAATATTCGTAACTTTTCATTTATAAAGGTGTTTTTGTCAAATCTCATGTCACGTTGCACGTGATCCGTTCAACATTCAGTTGTAAGACGGTAATTTGCATTTTTTGGATAAATAGAGTGTTTGTTGCAATAAAAAAAAAAAATTTACTACAAGATATGTTGCAACTTTTTGATAGTATATGAAAAAAACAAAAAAAAGTTTAGTGCAATTTGGCCCATCATTTAGGATTGTTATTAAAAAAAATTATTTTGTTCATCCCCGGAAGACTCAATCAAACAGACACACTTCAAGTCGAAAAGAGAAAAGGACACAATTTATCTAAATCACTAAACGTTAAAACTGAAATTTGGCCCAATCCACTCCATTATAATAATAACAGAGGGGCATTCAACTAGGGTTCTATCTTTGACAACGATGTCACATTGGCGCTAATATGACATATTCACAAAATCAAACATGGATCCTAACTTGTCTCTTCATGTACATGAAAGGACCTTTGAATTTTACCTTTTGTCACATATTCACATTCTTTCGTTCCATGGACTTGTCTTAGATGTCTTTAACACATCAAAATCAATGTTGGGTGGTGACCTCTTTTAACATTCACACTAAGTTATTTTCTTTTAATTCGTTGTAAAATATTCTGTTTAGTTAGAGGAATGAAAAATAAAGGAACAAAGAGAGGAGGGATGAATGGGACATTATTAGGGAAGGACAAATACCTTCCTCGCAATTTCTTTGGTTGAACGGAAGTTATATTAAAATTGATAGAGTAACAATATATTTTTTTAAGATAAATTACACTGACCTCTCTTAAAATTTCATCAATATTTAGATATTTTTCCTCTTATTTGTTAAATAATAATGACCTCCATTATTTTTCTTCTTATTTGTCAAATAACAATGACCTCCATTTTGTAAGGGAGGTGTTCAATGTTAACACAATATATTTATTGCTGTTTTATTACAAAAATGACAAATTTTAAAAAGACAAAAAAGCCCATCTCTCAAATCCAATTCTCATCCTTCACCTAAGCAGATCCAAAATAAGGGTTCTATAACTTCTATGGTTTATAAGTGGCGGCGGCGGCAGAGAGGGCGGACGGAGCACTAATTTTCCAGTGGTGATGGCGACAGATTCGAGTGAGGGCTTGATCGGACTGGGGATTTTTCCAGGCCTTGATCTTCGATGCAATCGGAGGCTCGAACAAGCTCGTCCACAAAATCGAACTCAGAATTCCCACCAATTTGGTGGTAATCATCGTGAATATTCGAATTGATGCGAGTGAAATTGACGAATTAGATCAGATTGAGAGTGGATTGGGGAATAGAACCCCCATCGTTAAACATAAAATTCTAATTCGTAAACACCCAGATTGAGGGAAGAGGTTTATATATATATATATATATATATATATATGGATAAATAATATACTATATAGTAACCCATATTAAGAGAAGAGGGTGGTGGTTGTGGGGTTGGTGGTTGCGGTGGTTGCGGTGGTGAGTGAAGAGATAGAAAGAAAGATGGGTTGAGCGGTGGCGGCCGTCGGTGGTGTTGGGTAGACAGAAGAATGGTTAGACAGGGAAATGATGTTGGTTAAGGGTGGTAGTGGTGGCTGCCAAAATAATTTTCTTTTTGCAAATCACTATTTGAACCCTTTTTTTTGTTATATATATATATATGTGTGTGTGTGTGTGTATATATATATGTGTATGTATACGTGTGTGTGTGCCTGTATGTGGTGATGGTTGATCGCCGGAGAAGATGGTGGTTGAGGATGGTGGAGGTGGAGGTGGTGGTGGCCGGAGGAAATGGAGAGGAGGGGGGAATACGTATATATATATATATATAGATCTGTATGTGTGTGGCTTTGTGTGGTGGAAAATTGGAGTTCTGGGAAGGAAAATTTATGCTTTTGTAAAGGGAAATGGGTTTTCGGAGAGAGAAAGGGAGATTTTAGACATTTTAGTTAATTTATTACATACGGTAGAGTGAAAATTTGAAAATAAAAATTTAATGACATCATCATTTTGAATAGTAATAATATATTTCGTTAGTGGTTGGGAGATCTTTGTTATACGTGTATAAATTTCAAGAAGGTGATTGTTATTTGACAAATAAGAGGGGAGGTCACTGTAACTTAACAAAACCTCAGAAGGAGAGGTCAATGTAATTTATCTTATTTTTTATTATTATTTATGATTGAATGGAAGAAAAAATATGAGAGTTTTTATATGCTGTTATTCGTGTACCCTTACAATTTTTGGAACTCAAATCACATTTATTTGTGACTGGTCAGCCTTAACCACGGGTTCATGATGGTTGGACTCAAATCACTTTGATTAGTGATTGGTCATACTTAACCATGATTATCACTTGTAGCCAAAATGCATATAATGATCAAATTACGGTAAACGCAGCTCTTGAGCAACAAAATTCAAGAGGTCTTCAAGACAAAATTCATGAGGTCAATCATTATTTACGTGAGAGAGTTGTAGTAGAGTTAAAATAGACTATATATTAAAATAAGTCATTTTTACATATTTATAAGTCAATTATTAGCTATTAAGAAATGCTTCATCCCTCTTTATATCCTGTTATCACTTTCTTTCTTTTTAACCAAACAAGGTTGGTCTCATGTTTTTTTAAAGTGTATTTTACATTCATGTCTAACTTTTTCTCTAAAGCACCCCTCTCCTTGGCGAATGTTATTTTGTACCCTGGTCCCACCTTGTCATCACTCTACCCAAATCAACATTTAAATCACTAGCCGTAGACCCCCTAATAGGCATGAGGTTAGACCTTTTGTAAAATGTATCTTCTTTTTCTAACCGGTAATAACAATAAAAAATCTCATAGATTTTACATCCACTTCAAACCCATACACACAGTAATAATATATATATATATATAAATATAATAGATGTATGTGGTGTGAACACCCTCTTCGTGTAAAACAAATCTTCAAATCCATCAATCTAGTTTCTCAGCCTTTTTAACCCATTCCCACCTACTTTCCTTGAGGATAGATAACATATTAAATAATTTTTAGTGCCCCAAAACTTGACTTTAAGAAACCACTTTTTGATATCATAACACGTTTTTCACTTTCTCACTTAAAAGCTTCATTTTTCACTTTACTTTTATTCATCTATCTTTTGTTCACACACTGCAAATAAAGAACAAAATAATCCTCTTATTGCTCTGCACTTTTTAATACATTACATTTGTGTTTTTTTTTAACATATTAATCTTTTTTTTTCAACTTAATAATTTTTAACTCATTACATATATTTTTCAATATAAGAAAAAGTAAATATAATTGTTTTAAGAATAGATATAATGGTTAACACCCCCCCCCCCCCACCCACCCAACAAAATATATATATATATATTCAATTTTTTTTTAATACCCTCTAAAAATTGTTATTTTGTAAATAAACTCCACTCAGTCCCTCCATTTTTTTGTTTATTTTATTTTTTATATTGTTTGTATACTTTTTAGAAATTGTCATTATGTAAATAAACCCTTTGATGAAAATTTTCATTTGACCTCCCCAAAAATTTTTAAAACACTTATTTGTTGGTCTTAATTATAGTGAGTTTGGAAATAAGTATAACTTATTTTTTTTCAAATTTTAATTAAATCTTTTTAGCAAATTCCAAATCTCCTAAAATAAAAGTGTAAGTCCATTATTTTGGTAGTCTTATTATCATTACTACATTTATATTTGTATATATATACACATTTATAATATCAACTATATGACATTTAATAAAGATACACAAATCTTTCTTGGAGACAATTTTGTTGGATGGTATTAAGTCTTTATAGAAAAACTAAAGTATGCCAACAGTAACAACAATATCACATATGTATTATTTTTAGTTGTTAGTTGTTAAATGAAAAATTTTATAGTATGTCCATGTGTTGTTGTTTATAATCATATTTTATTAAAGTTTGCAAGATTTTGTTTAGTTAACACGCTAAAAAAAAAATGGTAATCTTTGTTAAGATAATAATGATATACCTTTCTCAAAGTAGAATCTAAGTACTAAAATAAAAAAAATTGAAACAAAGAAAATTTAATTTTTAAGCAATATATAAATATATTTTTACCATTTCTCTATCAATTTTCCATCTATATTTATTTAGGTTTTATTTATCATATTTTTAATTATATTTTCCTCAATATATATACACACACTAAGGATAATATTATAGAAAAAATTATACGGCAATTGATTCCTAGATATTACAAATTTTAATTACATAATTTTATTTTGGCCCCAACTCAAAATTTACGGTTGGTTATACAACGGTAACACCAATCAGCTCATAGCATATCTACATGCATGATGATTGATGACTATACAGTGTGGGCCCAAAGAAGGCTAAAACAAAACCTAAGATGTAACCTAAGATGTAAGATATTTGCGTGTCACAGGTGACTCAGTCCACCAGAGAGCAGTAACAAATGAGAGAGCATACAAATAAGAGCAAATAAAAAAACAATGATGATAAAACATGACACAAACAAAAACAAAGATAGCGATAATAACCTAAGTAAGGGATAATGTTATTTAAATACCCACCCCTATCCTTTGATTTGAATACTCTCATTGGCCCGCTAAAATCCAAGTGTGGACCTTATCGAAATCTCTTTCACAAACAAATAAAATTACCCCACCAAAGAAAATGAAGGAAAATACCTATCCCTTTGTTGGGTACGACAAGAAATATCAAACTTTCCAAAATTTGCAATTCTCATATTTTCGTTATCGAATTTGATTACTCTCACATGTGATTTAACTCAGGATCACTAACTCATTTTGTTTTTTAGACAATGTCCGCATGCGAAGTCTTAATACTATTACTCGTGTGGATGTGGTTCATTTTGTGAAATTTATACTCACGACTTTCAAAGTTAGGATGCCCACAATCCCATATATATATATATATATATATATATATATATTGTCAAATATAAAAAAATAAATAAAAATACGTGTATATATTCATGTTTTCCTCCGCCACCCTCAAACCCGCGCCGCCTGGAGAAACAAAAGAGGCATCTCGGTGATGGGCTGCTATTGCTGTGCTTAGTCAGTTGCATTTGTAATATCCACACACACGCACACAACGGAACAAAATACACAACACTACAAGGCTTCTTCGCCGAATCGCTTCATTTTTTGATAGCCTTGAATCAGAGTATTGATTGATTGTATTACTTTGTTCGAGAGAACAAGAAGAAGAAGGAGGTAGCAGAAGCAGCAGAAGCTGAAAGGGCAAGGAGAAATTGGCTTTGTAAAGTCCGTTCTTGCCAACAAGGTTTTTCATTATTCTCTCCGTTCACACCTCATAAAACTGCCTTTATTTCTTTGTCATCCTTCTATATATATGTGATTTAACCACTTTGTATATGACACTCCTTCAGAATTCTCAGAAAGCTGAATTGGGTTTTGCTCGAGTCAGGAAAAATTTCAAGAAATAGAAAAAATGAAGTACGTTTTGGTCACTGGAGGAGTTGTAAGCGGTCTGGGCAAAGGGGTCACCGCAAGTAGTATTGGAGTGATTCTCAAAGCCTGTGGACTTCGCGTTACTTCTATTAAGATTGGTACTATATATATATATTTATATATCATATAGCCCTTTAGTCTCATAGTTTCTTATTAAGAATAGATTTTATTGCCTAGATTCCTCTTTGACCCTCTTTCTGTTCTCAATTTTATTTGGTTTGAAATGACTTGGGTATGTATGTGGACTCTATATCAACATCTCAGTAGTTTATTTGTCTTTTTTTCTTCTTTTCCTTGTCCCATTTTCCCAATTTCATGACTGAACCGCATTATATCATGTTCATTTTCTTTTCGAATCTTGGGTGACATAATTTGACATAATTTATTTTGTCATCATTACATTTTCATAAATTCTCTTCCGTGTTTTTCGGAACATGATAGCATGTGAATTGACCAAGGTTATGACCTTAAATAGATCCGAATGGAAACATAAGATTCATGTAGCTGACGTGGGAAAAGGGCTTGGTGGTTGTTTTTGTGTCTCTCGTATTGTTTGAAACAAATTGAGCTTTTTCTTTCAACTTCTGCTTTCAGTAATTATAACGGGATTTTTTCTTCATCTGATTGCATTTTACTTGAGTTGGTTTTACTGAATTTTTAACAATCTCAAATCATAGTAGAGTTTTATTTAATTTCTGTTAGCCATGCAGATAAGTGCTTACTTTCACTTGTTTTAACCCTCATGGGTTAATAATTTGATGTATTTCTAAGTTACTACCCAAAAATGTTTTTTTGTTTAACACAAGAAGTATTTCAGTTTCATTGCCTAAAAGTACAAACCTTTTGAGCTTCAAAATTTTCATTTTTCTTTCTTTGGAAAGGAAATTATTATTCTTTGTGATTTATCATTCCATCTATGTAGATCCTTACTTGAACACTGATGCGGGAACGATGTCTCCTTTTGAGCACGGAGAAGTGTTTGTCTTGGATGATGGCGGTGAGGTAAACTATATACTGTCTGCTACTTATGTATGCTTCATATTTCCTATGTTAGTGTTAAAGAATGCTGGCTTGTGAAAAGTTAGCACTCCTCGAAGATTTGAAGAGAAGATTGAAAAGGATGGGGCATGGATGCCAACATTTCTGTTGTCATAATTTATGTCACCACCACTGCCATTCCACACCACAAACACCTCCACCATTAACTTTCATACATATGATGTGGTATGGGGAATGGAAATTAGAAGAATGGAATGTAGAAAGTATTGAAAAGGTATCTTAAAGAAGGAGTGGTCTTTCCTCCTTTTGTTTGAGTAAAAAGGAGAGGAGGAAGGAAAGGAATGTTGAGTAATTTTACCATCATGAGAATTTCGGCATTTTGATATCACTTATCTCTCAGAGAGCATAAAAAAAGCTAAATGGAAGAAGTTCATTTTATTCATACAAACATTTACTTGTTTTGTGTGTTCAAGGTGGATCTGGACCTGGGAAATTATGAGCGATTCTTGGATATCACATTGACTCGTGACAACAATATCACAACTGGGAAGATTTATCAAGTAATGTTTTGAGACATCCACTTGCAATTCTTTAAGTCACGTGTTTACCCACAGAGTATCTTAAGTTCACGCATTCTTACTTGACCTCAAACTCACCGTTGTCTTCAATTTGCTTTCTTGATATTTAATAGGCTGTCATCAACAAGGAGAGAAGAGGTGATTATCTTGGAAAGACCGTCCAGGTCTGTTCAGACTGTTAAATTTGTTATTTTATGTTGATCCAAGCTTGCCAATGCCATTCCCAGAATAATTTTTGTTTACCTTCTTTTTATTCTAGGTGGTTCCACATATTACAGACGCCATTCAAGAGTGGATTGAGCGTGTAGCAATGATCCCAGTGGATGGAAAAGAAGGTCCTGCTGATGTTTGTGTCATAGAATTGGGTGGAACTATTGGTACGTTACATTCTTGATATTTGGTAAATGAGCTGTTTCCTATTCTTAATTGGCTAAACATAAAATCTCTTGATGCAGGGGATATTGAATCTATGCCATTCATTGAGGCACTCTGCCAGTTTTCATACCGTGTAGGTAAGCTTAATATGCACTGCATCCTTAATTTGTTGTGTCACGGAAATCGATATTCTTCAGATGTATGATAAAATTAATATGTTCATTTTTTAGGCTCCAACAATTTCTGCTTGATTCATGTAAGCCTAGTGCCCGTTCTCAATGTTGTAGGTGAACAGGTATGTGTGAACCACTAATGTGTCTTCTATGCTTTCTTGCTCTAACGGATATTGTGATGATGTACCTACCAAAAAAAAGAAAAAGTTATTTTGCTAACTTTTTTTATTTATAGAAAACAAAGCCTACCCAGCATAGTGTCAGAGGACTTAGAGGACTGGGTTTAACACCAAATATTCTAGCTTGTCGCAGTACAAAGGTATGCTCTCTTTTTATTGTCCCCTTCTATTTTCCTTTTGTCTTTATCAACACATCTTATTCTTCTTTTATTTTTTGTCTGTTTCAGCCACTTGAAGGGAATGTCAAGGAAAAACTCTCCCAGTTTTGCCATGTGCCGGTATTATAATAGAATTGAAGATCCATCTTTTTTCTCTTTGCCTTTTTTCCAAAGAATCGGCTTACATGTCTAAACAAAATTATTAAAAACTTCTTTCCAGGCAGGAAACATAATCACTCTCTATGATGTTTCAAATATTTGGCACATTCCTTTGCTATTAAGGGTAAGTAGTTTTTGAATTTTCATGAAATTATCTTTCAGCTGTACTTATTTTCTCACATCAAGAACTTAGATTTTTTATTTTTTTACCTTCTTAATCAGGATCAAAAGGCACATGAAGCAATCTTGAAATCATTGAACCTTCTGGGGTATGTCTCTCAAAATACTCTGCTTTGATTTTCTGTAAAATCATTTTCTCTTCCTTCGCTGCATGATCTTTATTTTCAGCCATTCGGTCATGATTCTGTTGACATTGTTTTACACTGCAACAATTTGTAATAAAGTTTTTCTGGCCTTTGAATGTTTCTGCAATTTACAGCATTGCTAGGGAGCCTAATTTAACGGAATGGACGGCTAGGACAGAACTGTGTGACTTGTTGTACGATCCTGTAGGTCTCAATCATCATTTAAATATGAATTCAGATTTCTTTTATACTGCATATTGTCATTCTGTTAAAATACATGTGCATTACAGGTTAGGATTGCAATGGTTGGAAAATATACTGGCCTTTCAGATTCTTATCTCTCTGTTCTGAAGGTGAATCACTTTATTATGCAAAGATATGCAAGCTTGTCCCTTTCTTTTTGTTTTTTATTTTTTGGGAAAGATTATGCAGTTTGATTATTTTGATTAAATTCCTTTACACGATCGAGTCTTATTATGTAATTCTTGATTTTTTATGTTTATTTTTTCCCACCAGCTTCTTTTAGCATTCCCTTTGAGCTTTTCTTTCTTTTCTTCACCCCCCACCACAAACATCTGTTATTGCTTTGATAAGGCTTGCTTCAGTTGAGTTGAATTATCAATATTTCCTTTAATACGGTGTCCAGTATAATTATTCTGATATATTTAATGCAGTATCAGCTTCTCCCCAATTTTCTTAAAATAATTTCAAGATATAAAATTTAAAATAATAGATGCCCCGGTTTCGTGTCTAGTTAATTGCTTTACTGAGTCTTCTAAAAGTGAAATCACGTGTTTTCTATTTTACATAATTTTTTTCGTAATTAATTTTTATAAAAACAACACTATTAAGTATAAACAAATTGTGGTTGTGATAATCTATTAAGCTAAACAATATGAACAAGGATTAATCCAGAAAAAAAGGAAGAAATAAATTCGTAATATCCATTTCCACTCAAAAAGATGGTCAACGGATAATTATGAAAAAAAAAAAGATGGTCAACGGATGTGTAGGAGGATAACAGTCTTCTTTAAGAGTTCTCCTATGCCTTTCTGTTGGCCAAAATTCAGCTTCACCATCCCCGATCTATGAATTCAGAAGAAAGTGACGTCCAAGAAAAATTCACATTTTGAATTTGAGTCATGAGATGAGATAATCTCCGAGAGCCTTTCCTTTTACCCGTAGCCCAATGATTATTGATTTTCTTGGGATCATCATCCTCTCAATTGTGCATATGCACCAAAAGCCTCAACTTCCATCAAACACATGAAGGACCTCTTGTTCTACTAGTAACGTCAATTTAATCCGCCGCATGCCTATTGGGACGAATTTGGGATCATTCTTATCGTATTAGGGATGGATTTGGGAAGAGTAAAAAACTCAGACCCATCCATGTACCTGCCCTGGTTAATAATAAATATTCTATTACTTGGCAGAGCTGTTATCTTTTCATTCCTTTTCATTATAATTTTAAATTTGCTTATTCAAATTTAAAATTTGTTATTATAATTGTTAAGTAATTGTCTGTACTTGGATTTATTTATTTATTTTTAATGTATTGTAAATTTGTTCAAGTTTGAATTTTTTTTTTTTTTCCCTCTTAAAAAAAATCATGTATAGCAAGATGCCTTGGACCCTCCCTGACTCTAATGTCGGGCGAGGTCTGGAAAGTGCTTTTTCTTCACAGGCTAGATTTGGGATTGGGGTGCCCCATCCCTGATTCGCCCTGTTGACACACCTAAATTTTACCTTATTGCCATGATTCCTAAAATGACCTCCAAATGGATTTTTTATAGGATTTTCAAGGGAGTAATGATAAAAGTCCAGTTTAATAGATCCTTGAGGGGGCTTCCTTATGGTAGAATGATACTTATGACTTGTCATAGATGAAGCTGCTCTCTAACATCTCTAAAATAAATACCAAGGGTCACTGTCCGAGACTCTTGACTTGCCATCAACAGTCGACACCCAGATAGAGGCTAAAAACTTTAGCTTTTCCCACTATAATTTTTTCTCCATAAACTTAAATCTAACTTACCAGATTTTACAGTCCCCGTTCAAATTAACCTAAAAATTCATTCAATATATTATGCATAAATCTATTTTATTTTAGAGGCAACAACAACAACCAAGCCTTTCCCAATTACCTAGTGTTGGCTACGTGAATCCTACGTTTTCCTTTTGGTCTATTTAAGGTCGATCATAGCTTCAGTCAATCCACATGCTGTCATATCTTTCTTTACTAACTCTACCCATATTAACTTTGGTCTTCTTCTTCCCCTAGTATTCCACTATTACCCTCAATGTGGACTTTGTCACTTTTCCTATCCAGCACATTTAAAGGTCTTCTTTGCACGTCTAAACCATCTTAACCTATTTTATCTCACTTTATCTCCAATTGGTGCTAGTCCATCTCCCGAATGTGATCATTTCTAATTATATCCTTTCTAGTCTTACCACACATTTCTCAACATTCGCATTTCTGCCACACATTTTATGCAAATGTTGTTTCCTAACTGCCAACATTCAGTACAATAAAGTATGCATGGTCTAACATGAACTCCCTTTTAATCAGAAGGGGATACGCCCATCACGCAATATACTAGATGCACTCCTCCATTTAATTCATCATGCCTTGATTCTTTTATTAACGTCATCTCCAATTTCTCTGTCATTATGAATAATTGAGCCTAAATAAAGTAAATATACACTTTTGTGTACATCTTGATTCTCGATCCTCTTTTGTCTTTCTAGATTTACTTAAAGCTGCAATCCATATATTCAATTTTATTTTGACTTATCTTAAACATTTAGTTCTAAAGCTTCTCTCCAAACCTCCAATTTGGCATTAACTCCTCCACTCTCATCAACTAAAACAATATCATCGGCAAATAACATACACCACGGAATCTCATCTTGGATGTGTCTTGTCAGCTCATCCATAACCAAGGCAAAAAGGTATGGATTTAATATTGACCCTTGGTGTAAGCCTACAGCAATCGGGAATTCACTTGTTTCCCCTATAGGCGTTCTAACTATAGTCACACAACCATCATACATGCCCTTTATTGTGTCAATGTATCCTTTTGTGACTCCTTTCTTTTCTAAAACCCTCCATAATAGGTCTCTAGGTATCCCATCGTAGACTTTCTCGAAATCACTACAAATCATATGAAGATCTCTCTTCTTCTCCCTATATCTTTCCATTAGTCTCCTGACTCTCCTCAATAAGTAAATAGCCTCCATCATTGACCTACCCGGCATGAATCCAAATTGATTCTTCAACACTTCAGTCTCTCGTCTTAGGCATTTTTCAATCACTCTCCCAAAGTTTCATAGCATGACTCGTGAATCTAATACCACGGTAATTATTACTACTTTGTACGCCCCCTTTATTTTTATATATGAGTACTAGAATACTTTGGTGTCACTCATCCAGCATCCTCTTAGTTGATATTATCGTATTAAACAATTTTGTTAACCAAGACAAGCCAACTTCTCCTAGACATTTTCCACACCTTAGTAGGAATGCCTTCAGGACTTAAAGCCCTCACCGATTTCATTTTCCTTAAAGCATTCCTAACCTCCCACTCCTTGACCCTGCAGAAAAATATGTTCTCTCTAACATATTCTTCTAAGCCTAGACTTCCTATATGGTTTTCATTTAGAAATTTCTCTTGTAGTTTCCCAAAAATTTAAAATTTTCCTTTGTTTTTGTAGGAAAAATTTGTGAGAAAGTTAAGTGGTTATGAAATATTACTTTTCCTTAATTTTTTTTCATTACTTTCTATTTAACCAAACTAAAGCTTAATGTGTGTCTGTTTTCTCCTGCAAGGATAAACAGTAAATGTTTTTGCAGAATTTATTTCAATACACTTGTGAAAATGTACTTATCAAAAAAAAAAAAAAAATACACTTATGAAAATGTAATACATTATATATATATATATATATTTGTAATGTGTAATTGTGTTTAAGTTCTGGTACATACATGGCATGCTGTAAAAGGAAAAAATAAGGACTAGATTCTAATATTTCAGCTTGCTGTTACAGGCTGTTTTGCACGCCTCTGTTGCTTGCCGCAGGAAACTCCATATAGACTGGGTTCCTGCTGGTGACCTCGAAGACACAACTGCAAAAGAGGTGACTACTGATTTTAATTCTATAATGATTTGTCATCTACTTTGTGTGAATAAAGTTTTGACTACTTTTCTTCCTTTTAGGCCCCTGATGTTCATAAAGCTGCATGGGATATCTTGAAGGTGATCTTATTGGAGTTTGATTGCCTTGAAGTAGCCTTTTTTATCAGTTTTTTGCCCTTACTTTTCTGCAGATCTTCTGAACAGTGTCTGGATGCAGGGCGCTGATGGTGTTATAGTTCCTGGAGGGTTTGGTGATAGAGGGGTGGAAGGAAAAATTCTTGCGGCAAAGTATGCTCGAGAAAACAAAGTTCCATTCCTTGGTATTTGTTTGGGGATGCAAATTGCAGTCATTGAGTTTGCACGATCGGTTCTTGGTTTGCATGATGCAAACAGCACAGAGTTTAATCCTGAAACTACAAATCCTTGTGTCATATTTATGCCAGAGGTATGTAATTCTTCATGCATTTTTACTTGGTTAACATTATTATTCCTCTTTTCTATTTTTATGTTTGGCACCATTTATGCTGTTTTCTGCTCTTCGTAATAGGGCTCAAAAACTCACATGGGAGCAACTATGCGCCTGGGTTCAAGGAGGACTTACTTCAGGGTTACTGACTGCAAGTCTGCAAAGTTGTAAGGGCTCACAATTCCCTTCCACTTACATACATATGTGCATTCAATCATGGACGTTCAGACATGCACGCGCTCTGGCTAGTAAATAATTACATATGAAAATTAATTTTAACAACCACTTGATGATTAATTTATATAAATGAGTTAATATTTACACATTTTAATGTACATGGATCCTTAACAAACTTTTTATATCCTTTTTTATATTTGTAAATTAACAAACACTTTCCTGTCCTGCCTGGACTATTCTTTAAGATTTGGATTTTTCCCACCAGATATGGCAATGTGAGCTTCGTTGATGAGCGACATCGTCACAGATATGAGGTAAGAGGCATATGTACTCCTGCTAAGCAGATGCAAGTCTGCCCCCACATGCACAATATTTCCAAACAAATAAGGGAATGAGTTCTGCTTTTTTTTTTTTTTTTTAATGAGTGGCTACTAAAAGAAATAGTTCATGGCATATAGGTCAATCCTGATATGGTATCACAACTTGAAAATGCTGGTCTATTATTTGTTGGAAGTGATGAAGGTGGTCGGCGCATGGAGGTAAGTTTTATAGTTGCTGAGCTGGTCACGCTCTTTCTTACAAAACCTTATGTTTAGGATAATAACTATTGTAGGAACAATCACATTGTATACAAATTTCAGTTTCTGTTGGTTCTCATTGTTTTGTTGGTATATTTTCTGCAGATTGCTGAACTTCCTGGTCATCCATATTTTGTTGGTGTACAGTTTCATCCCGAGTTCAAGTCAAGGCCTGGAAAACCTTCTGCACTGTTTTTAGGTATTATATTTTTCATTGTAGATTGGGCTCCTTTTTTTTCCTTGTACCTTTTTTTCAGAAATTGAATTGAGTTTTTAAAGAGTGATGGAACAAATTAATGAAGAATCTGACAGCTACTTGTAATTGTTGACCATGGAATGTTTTTTTTTGGTAGGTAAGAGCTCACTCCCAACTCACACTGGCACACACACTGTCCCTCAGTGGGGCCTTGAACTCAAAACCTCCTATATGAGAGGACATATCACTTTAGCCAAGAGCTTGATGGTATGAGGTGATTTGTTTGTAATTTTCTGAATGGTTATCACCGACTTTTTTTTTTATCTAATGCTTAATTCAAAATGGGTGCAAAAATAGAAAAATAAAAAGAAACTCACACACAATAACCCATCATCATCTTATTCAACATCATGTTAGTGGTTAATGGCAGGGATCATCTTTAGTGAAGAACTAGTGTTAGGTGACAGTGTCATGCTGTTTGATATCTGTTCTGATAATTTACTAAATAATGTAGATACTTATGTACTTTGGACTTCGTGGAGTAGGTTCGTTGTGGAATCATAGGGTTGTTTTTGTCTGGAGAACGGTGGGGTTTTGCTTTCTGATTTATAAGGACACTAGGGAAGTCTCTTTATTTTACTGTTTGAGCTAGAAATCACTGGGTTCTTTTTGATCCTGTGGTTGATGGTCATGCCTACGTCTTTGTGGGTGGTAATTTAATAGTTTGAGGATGTGAGAAACATTTAGTTTCTTCTAGTTCTGAGGTTACTGTTTATGGCCTACCTTCATATGTGTCTCAAGTTTGAGATTGAAACTTTTGATGGTAAACAGGTTTTAGCGCATAGAACTTTTTGACTCCTAGAAAGACAATTGATCCTAACCATGAATAAGAAATAGTAGAATCTTCAACCAAACGTACACCAAGACCATCCTAATAAGGAAAAACGCTAACAAATATCCCAATGTTAGAAGTTAATGAGGCATGTAATTCTGGACACTTGATTGCTCTTTTTGTTGATTCTGCATCCGTGGGCGTTACTAGTATATCCCGTCCTAATTAAGAGAAGTCTTAATTTTGTGAACAATCCTTATGAGTTGCAAGTATAGTAGTTTGTTGGGGGTCACTGTTTCCATTGCCCTTTATTGACAGTTTAATACTAGAAAACTCCTCGCTGAGATCTTGCCATCTGGAATTGCCAATTATCTATGTGTGACCAAGACCATAACAAGGACCGCATCAGTGTTGAGCTGTGACTCCATTGTACCCCAGTAAGGGAGATACTTCGCTAATGCCTGCTCGATCGGATGGAGATGGGACAACTTGGGGATTCTAAACGTGTTTGATCTTTGGTTTGAGTCTGAGAGCTTGTTGAGGTGGTCTCACCCAGGGAAGGTCGGTTGACGTGATCTGTCTCTATCGGACCAAGAAATGAGGGATTGCTGATGTCAAAGCTATGACACATGGCACGAGCCGCATCTCACAGAATTAGTGACAGATTGCTTGTCATCACTACTGTGCCTGATCTAAGTCTGTGAGGCATGTCATGCAGACTGGAAATTAGTAGTGTCATAATAGGGTGTATCATCGTAGCCTAGTCGTAATCCACATTTTTGGGGTTCCTAATTTAAATGGCTTTGATCCATAAATTCCTTCTGGATTTATGGGCTGAAATATATTATCCTAATTGAAATTGTTTATCTATCATGTTACAGGGCTTATAGCAGCAGCATGTGGCCAGTTGGATGTGGTATTGCAATACTACGGCCATATAAGGAAACTAATGACGAGGAAAACTGGGATGAGCAACGGACACGGAATGGTTAAAACCCACCAAAATGGAAACACCGAGAAGCCCTCCAATGGATGTTTAAATTGCGTGTATAGCAATGGTAACGGAGTGCACCTCTAAAGAAAGTCAGTGATTATCTTTGATGGAAGTAATCTTCTGGTTAGGACCTTATGGTATTGAGTTTGTCCAAGGGCTCCTCAGTAGCCCTCCGAATCTGTCTGTACAGCAGTTTTGAGTACTGGTGGATGTTTTGACTGTTTGGCTACGTTGTTTTGGTATGGTGCTGGATCTCGAATGTCTCTCGAGTAACTCTCCTGCTTGTTTTTGCCAGCATGGAAGAGTTAACCGGCTGTTTTGTTGAACTGAAATATCCCTAGTTTTGGTGAGGACTTGGACTGATCACCCCGGAAAAGAGAAGGTTTAACTATTTTATTAAGATTTCATTTGTTCAAAAGTGGTGCTTCGACATAATTTGCATTTATGCAAAAGGAACTTACTGTTTGTTATTAATGTATTCAAAGAATTGCTTGTGTCTCTAAATCTTAACAAATTGCATGGTAATGGACATTATAAATCTGACTGTTACAGCAGAGTGCTGATTGTGTAATTATTAAAAATAATGATCGACTTCAGGAGCACGTATTGCTAACTTGCCATATCAGTCACTTTTTAGACTTCCAAATCATTCCATAAATTGCCATTTTGGGATTGAAATGCCAATTTATGTCATAAACACTACTTACACCAATATCAATCCCATTATAATAAAATCTTGCAATTTGAATTCAAGCATTTGAATCTGCAATTTTTTTCAGAATGGTGGTGGAATCGAGTTCCCCAACTTTCTCTTGCAAGAAGTTAGTACATTCCACCTCCTTCAATTGACACGCTTGGTGTGTGCGCGTGCGATTAGGTAAAGCCAATATTATACATGAGATAGAAATTAGAGTGTAAAGGTTACAAGACCAAAAAAGGGCCCGCAGATGCACCAAGTAGCTTTGAGCCACAGACACTCTACCAACTATACATCAAAAGCTAAAAATCACCAACAGATCACCAACTTATTCAAGGGTTTTTAATTGACAAACACTTTTGAAAAAAAAAAAAAAAAAAAAAAAAGTTGACAGGCACTTGATATAAATATAAAACGCTGAAATTTCAGTTTATATATAGGGTAAATTATACGAACCTATCCTGAGGTTTGCCATAATTACATTGATCTCCCTTATAATTTAAAAAATTACACCCATCCCCCGTAAAATTATACCCACACCCATCGTGTACAGAATGGTAGGTCAGAGTAATTTTTGAAAATATAGAAAGAATTTGTGTAATTATGACAAATCTTAAGGGAAGTCTATATAATTTACCCTTATATTAGTCTCCTTTTCACCATTATATATATATATATTTTGAAAGTTAAAACAACTAACCGATAGGGTGGGAATTTAAAAACCTTTGCCACAAGAGCTCTATCACTTGGCTATCACACCACATCCCCTTCTCACTATGATGTTACCAATGAATAACAATTGAGACAGATTTAAAAGAGTGAATATCAAAATATATCTGGTACTATTACTACAATTTGCTCTATAACTACAACTGAACTGGGAAGTCAATACTGACTCAGCTTTTGAATATTAAGCCCAAATCATAATATTTTGCCTCCAAGAATGATTGACAAGTAGTTTAGAGAACTAATTAATCATAAAAACCAAGGCCTCCTTCATGATCCATTGTGACTATTACAATTAAAATGTCTTGGCACTCAGTTTGGACATAAATATAAATTTCAAAGATCAACATCATTAATAACTGTGACCCTATTTGTAGAACTTGAAGTTGTCTGTTTCATTGCCAACATAGTGAAATGGAAATCTTTGAGCTGAAGACCCCACATGATGATGAACATCTTGGGATGAAGCTAGTTGGCATTTGGTTTGATGATCCTGCAGGCTTTGATGGGAAGCAAGAAGCTTGTCCAAGAATGAGCAGTCGGTCCCGGTAAACCGCTCGGCCTGTGGGATGAGGCCATTGCAGCCACCTTCAGATGTCAGCCTCAGCAAGTTTTGAGAGCACTCCATGTCCACATTGTTGAAGGGAAAAGGTGATAGAAACGACGACGGAGTAATTACAGTTGATGTCTGATCAGGACTAGACAATTGTGGGAGATGCTTGAAGCCATCAAAGATGCTAGAGTAGTAGTCATTGTATAGTGCCTGCAAATTCAGTTTAGTTGGCTCCAAAATTGGAGCTGATCCACTAGCCTTGGAAGCAAAGTGTTGTTGATGCTGTTGAGGAAATGTTTCTGATTGGTATTGGAAATCTTTATTACTGATATAGTTCTTCTTCTTGAATACCCTGCAGACCACCCACCCCTCTTCCTGCTTTGACGTAACACCACAAGAAAAAGTTTCAAATATTATATCATATAGCCTAGCTCAGAAGCATGTGTGTGTGTCAGTGTGTGTGTATGTGAGTGTGTGTGTGTGTATATATATATATAAGACTTGAGATAAAATTAATGTAATTGAGGGTTAAGGTATGCTCCATTTGTTTCGATCTCCATTGGAAAACATTTTACATTAAAAAAAAAAAAAAAATCATTTTCCTTCTTATCTTAATTCGTGTTTGTTGAAGTTGGGAAAATAATTCAACAATTCTTAGAAAATGCTCAATAAACACTTGAATAGGCATGTATATATGCGAATACAAGTATTTTATATTATCTTACGTATAAGTTAATACATATAGGGAAGCATATATGCTTATGGAAAAAAGATATAGGAGTATATATAAACAAGTATATATGTATTTACAAAATTTTATTATATGCATGTACACAAATACATGTGTTTGTATTTGCATTTGCACACATACTATTGTTTGGTCATAGGATTTCGAATGTAATTTTGTACCGAGTCATTTTCCTGACTATTAAGCTACGTTTTTTTTTTTCTAAAAAAGTTGTCTCACACATTTTAGATCAATCAAATACCTGAAAATTTGTTTCCACATTTTTCAGAAAATGTTTTACATTGAAACAAAGAGTAGATCTAATACTGTGATGAAAGTGCATGCATGGATATATGGTTGACGATGAGTTGGTTAATCACCTGAATCTGAACCTGATCGGCATATTCATCTTCGAGACGATACTCATGCATGATCCAGTCTGTTTTTTGGCCATGAGGGGCACGTCCAGTGTAGAACACTAGGGTTTTCCTCATCCCAATTTTCTTGGAATCACTAAGGTGGATGGCCTTGTCTCTCCCTGTTGCCTTCCAGAAACCAGCCGTGGTGGCTCGATTTGTTCGAGTTCCGGTTGGATATTTCTTGTCTTTGTGACTGAAAAAGTACCACTCGTTCTGAGGACCTGATCCAATTCTACAACGGTCTGCATGTCACATCATCACCAAATTAATGATTTTTCAAATATATAATGAGATGTTCTTTGATCCAGTTCATTGTTCACAAGCTTTAAGTTTTATTCAAAGGAAAAAGAAATTTATGAACGAATGAAAGAAAAATAAAAATGGAGAACTATAAAATTACAAAAAATAAAAAAAAAAAAAAAAAAAAAAATGGACATGTAAGAAAGAAATAGAAGAATATTATTTAGTTTCATCACTCGACAGTGCATTCCCGTTTTTAATGTCTGTAACTTCGTATAAGTACTTAATTTGAATATACAATTAAAACTAGATCACATTTTCAATAATATTGCTAAAAGATTCGATCTCTCCCCTGGCTGACAAAATAATTGGAGCTCGCTCCTCAACTTCAAGGCATATAGATTTAAAAAAAGTCCTAATACTTTATCCATCATCCTATCAACTTCAAGAATCAAGATACACATGCACACAAATATATATATATATATGGAGTATATAAGTACTATATACATACGTACTTAATTTGTATCTAGTTTCTGTGTGCCTTTGGAAAAGGAAGACAACTCTTTCGAATTGTAAGTATCACACATATATAATTCACTAAGAAATTATAACTCTTCCTTCAGATGCAAACCCTGAACTCAAGCATTACATATTTTGATTTTCCATTAATTGACAAACTCATCATGCATGCATGGAAGAGAGTGCTTAATCTGCAAAAGAAACCCAAAGTCTTTCTCCAAAATCATCCTAATTAAACAAGCTTGTCTATATTATATATATGTTTCCATATATACCAATTAAGTAGATGTATACTCAACCTAATTCTTAATACTTGGAAAAAAAAAAAAAAAAAAAAAAAAAAAAAAAAAAAAAAAAAAAAAAAAAAAAACCTAATTCTTATCATATACTAGTGTATTGTATATATGTGTGTGCAAACTATAACATACTAGAAGAAGAAGTAATCTGCAGACCTTTTAGGTCCCAAGGCTCGAGTTTGTTGAGATCCACTTCCCTTATAACATCAAGGCCATCATCGATGGTTTCATGTGAAACCTTCTTGCGCAGATAGTAATACAGTAGCTCCTCATCCGTTGGATGGAATCGAAAGCCCGGAGGAACAAAAAGCTGCCCATTTCCTGCCATCATATATATATATATATCCTCTCTATATAATTAGCTACTACTAGTAATGGAGAGGCCCGTGGATTGTGCAATGATCGACAGACCTCTCTGTGAATTTTTTCTTCTTCAGTGACAAACAGAAAATAAAGGACAAACAAATTGATAGAGAGGTAAGCTGTAGGGTTGTCAATTCTGCACTTTGCTTGAAAAAAGGGAGAGAGAGAGAGAGAGCTAGAGAGAGTTGGTTCTTTCTGCTAAAAGGTTAAGATGATGAACTTGTAAGAACCGAGGAGGGGAACAGAAATATAGAAAAAAAATATATGTATATTATAAAAGAGTAACATGCATGAGGAGAACTTTTTATTAATTTACACGTACCTCGTGATTTTTTTTTTTTAATGAACAAACTATCGTTATATTGTAAACTTTGTCATTGAAAGTAAATATATATATCCCACCATATATAATACGTGATTTTATATAATAGAATTTTTTTTTCCCCAATTAATTTCAAAGCCTAAACCTTCAATCTACCATTGAAATCTTCAAACACTCCAAAAGCATAATTCCATAGATCTTCTTTCAATCGCTTGATTAATATGATAAAATGAAGATAATGGTCAAACCCATTCCAAAACTTTTTATATTAGAATTAAATAATAATTTAAAAATAAATAAAAGTCAAGTTATGAGTCATGAAAAGCTGACAAATTTTGGATCAATCGTGTGCATAATAAATTATATTAAATAGTGTAAAACAGAAAAGAGAAAAAAGGGATGGTCAAAATTAGTAGGACGTGGTCATGTCTCTTCTTTTGTATTCAGTTTTGGTGAGGGTTTAGGGTGAGACTTGGAAAATGTAGGTTGAATGGGAGACCCCATCCCCAAATTCGCCAGATAAGAATGAACAAAATCTGCACAACTGTCAACTACTAATCCACATTACTCCAAAACTATATCTCCTTTTTTATCCCCCACTATTGCTATCTGTCCACAATCATACACTGTTAGACTGGTCAAACGAAGAATGAAGAAATTTATTCTTCACTGTATCATTCCGTAATATAATATATATATATATCATATATGCGCGTGTCACTGTAGACTTTAGTTGTAGAAATATTTAGCTCTTCTGTAGTAAATGAATCCAAAGAAAGCTTACGTGGAACAGGAGTTTTAGCCTTTTAGTGTTCAAGTGTGTACCAAAAATCATCCAAATTATATAATATTTTGCCAAAGAATTTTCGTACCAGCTTTGAAAGTATTTGATATATTCTGCGAACATAAATCATGCAAATAAAAAAAGCTAAAACAATTCTTTAATCAGCCGGATTTAACTACCATCACAAGATTCACAAGCACCAACCACATGATTAATTTATTTCGGAAGCTCGGAATTAGTTTTCAATATTAGCTGAAATATTTATCCAAATCATCAATAAAATCATTGTGGGCAATTTCAAAAATCTCCATAAAAGGGAAGTACATCAATATATTACTAAGCATAAAAAATAAAAAAAAATAAAAAAAAAAACAATCCAATGACATTGCTGCTCAAGCAATTTCCTAGTGAACTAGGCTTACATTTAAATTTTAGTACCACTGGTGGTTTACAATTTATTGCAGAAAAATCAAATGGGATACAAAATTGAAAAAAATATATATATAAAGAAAATTGCACGATTAACAATATCATTGAATTTTCATAAATGTGTATTTTTGGGAATATGAACATGTATGAACCGGGTTGTGTGATACATCTTCATGAAATTTAGTGTTGAGAAGGAATAGAAGGTTCGCACGTGAACAAGACTTATTGAAAAAGCAAATTCCTGAAAGTCCGTGGGCTCTATAGTTGCTGATCCAACACGGACTGCACAATCCAAGGTTGTCCCATTTCCATACATATAATAAACTAATGCCACCACCCCAACGTATCATAAACGGGGACGACCTCCATTTATTTCACACCCAAAGCCGAAGTGTACTGTAGTGTTTACTCACACACACACACACACAATACATACATATACATATACATATACATATGTATATATATACATATACATGTATTATTAGATGTATCGATCAAACATAATGCTAATTCCCGGTCAAACACGGAGACTTCATTCGCTATATATATGGTACATCACAACTAATTTACCCTTGCAAATCCATCAAAATTACAATCCTTGATGAGTATTTAATCTAATTAATAACACCCACAAGTACAATACAAGCTGCTGGTGGTGGGTGCCATTGCCTTTACGAACACTTCAAAACATTATTACATACAGCTCAGCCAGTGAATAAATTCCTGTATTTTGTATCTTTAACCAAGAAACCAACTACAAAATGAACATGCTACATACTTCTATTACAATCAATGAATCTTATAATCATTCCTTCTCTAATCAAATATAAATTCTAACTGTCACCTTTCTACATCTCATCTGTATCTGTCATGCATGTAACAAACAATTCAAATAGGACACATGTTTGGCGCAACGATAAGGTTGCTCTATTATGACCTGGAAGGGTCCGAAACCAAAAGCAACCTCTCCACGAGGAGGTAAAACTGTGTACATCTAACCCTTCCCAAAACCCGCAATAACAGGAGCCTCATGCATTGGGCTATTTTCCCCTACAGTAAACATGCTTATGCAAGGAACACAGTGTAGTGCATGCATTGGCCTACCATTTCTTCACTATTTTCTTGTTATTCTGACTTAATACTCATCTTGGTACCCACCATGCCCTTGTGGTGCAGTGTAACATATAACATGTTCTCTTTACTACTAATGCTTGATTAATTCTTCTAATGAGAATGAATCACAAATTTCTACATCAATATCAGATTCAACCCAAAACAGTTAAAAAGGATGGGCAACAATCTCTACAATTTTACATTGAAGGTAGCTATACCTATTGCTTTGACATATTGTATATGGTGTCTTGATTAATGGAATCTATGGACCAATTGCACCGGGTACTGTCAGCATCCATGGGAGATATATTTAAGTTCCTGTTGTGCTGCTGATAAAGGGTTCTGCGGTGACCTATGCTTATATACGTTATGCCTGCAGCGCCAATTAGTTGATATAAATGGGCCTGCAAAAAGAAGAATGACTATAAGCACCAAAAACTGATGATATTGTATGTTATTTAATCTCAATTATTCAAGTCATTGACATTAGGAAGAGGCGCGCCTACAAGGAGCCAACAATGATCATTACTTGGAAGTGCACATGAACAAACCATCAATGCATAAAGAATTTACAAAAACAAACCATTACTCAAGTCGGTTACATGAATCTTATTTTTCCACTCTGCTATACCTGATGTCTATCCTTCGTCAAACCACATACTATCACATATGTCATTACTAATTCTAATCATATATTTCCTTACTAATTCTAACCGTGTTAATTTCAGTCTTCCAATTCCCCCGGTACTACCCTCAATGTGGTCCATGTCACTTTACCTTGCATTAGTTACATAGTGGTCTTCTTTGTACATGTCCCAATGCTGAAAATTTTAAACTAAAAAAAAAAAAAAAGAAAAGTGTTTTGGATCTAATATCTGAAAATTCTAGCAATAATGTCCAAAATCAATTGTCACTGCCCTATAGTAGGATCAACTGATCCAAAAAAATCCCATGTCCCCTTTGCAATTTATACAAATTTTAGACAATCAAGAATTGTTATCAAACCCAGCCCAGTAACTCCTCGACCAAGGGTCCTTGTCAGGATGCCATACCAGAAAATTTACAAGAAAAAACTGGAAGGCTATGCTGACATGGCTAGTTTGTTCATGATTTATTTGCCTGGACTGGGTCACTATGTGACTTAGGATTATTTTTAAAATTAAGTAATATAAAGCAAAAATCTCAGAATTCAAAATCATTTTCTTTTTCTTCTTTCTTTTCTCAACAAATCTGCACAATATTTGTTACATATAATATATACACACATATCATTGAGAGAGAGATGAATGGAGCTTAGCAATAGATAGACGGGGGCTTAGAGAGAGAGAAATCAGGTTAAAATTGTAACCCAGCACTTAGGAACCCCACCTCCCACCCTGTGTTTCCCCAACCATCAAAACCGCTTATGGATATTATATGGGCGGTGGCAAAATGACCTACAGATTTTAGATCCATAAGTCATTTTTGTTAGAATGGGTCTAAATATTTTGACTGGAAAATGGTCCACTACTTTTATGTGTAACCAAACACCAAAAAATGTAAGTATTTCCCAAAAAGATTTTTCCGTCAAAACAGTGTAAATGAAAAAATATATATGCACAATAGAAGGTGATAGCTAACAACAAATCCCTAGGTATCTATACGTAATGCAGAGCATGTTAAGAATTTATGTTGGAAGCACTTGAACATCCTAAAGAGTCCAAATCAAGAAGCCACTTTAGTGGGTCTGGCCCTAGTCAGCTCATGGGGGAGTTTTCCGCACACTCAATCTGAGTCATATGTAATGTATTTGGTCATTGAGCATCCTATAGCATTAAAATACATATTTGAGTTCATATGGCAATTTGACTGGTAGTGTTCTCTTTGTCTTTATTCATTCATAACAAAAGCTACAAGGGTGATGTAACGGGTGGGCGCTTGCCCATTTACCCAAAAGCTCAAACTGTTGGGTAGTGCTGCATACTCACTCATTTATACCCAATCACTCTCTCATCCGGATCCGATGTGGGACAAATACTCCCTTGTAACATTCTCCAACACCCGAACTTGCAACGCCCTCGTTGCGGTCCGGCCACCTTGCCTACCTGGGCTGGCTTACTCGGACGCCTTCCTAGCCGGACGCTTGACGTGGCACCGAATCAAGGACTGAGTCTAGCTTTGATACCAACTATAACGGATGGGCACTTGCCCATTTACCTAAAAGCTCAAATTGTTGGATAGTGCTACATACCCACCCATTTATACCTCATCACTCCCTTATCCAGATCCAATGTGGGACAAATATCCCCTTGTAACAGGTGACCACTAGCAATTTATATAGATAGTGAATGACATTGAGTGTTGAACAAACAAATCCTAAAGCTACAAGTACTTCAGCACCGAAAGAAAATTCACATAACAATCAAAGGATTCAACGATTAACGGAGATCAAGGCACGTATTGAAGATTGGGTTGTGTGAGAAGCAAGTATGTTGATTGATAGTAGCAGAGTTCAAGGAGAAAATCTAGCGTGAGTTTTGGTCAGAGGCGGCTATGTATTCTAGGGTTAGAATCTGAGACCTAAGTTTGCAAACCTTATATCTTTCTTCTAATAGTGATTTTAGTTTTCCTGGGCCAGGCCTGTGGTTTTTGTCCTTTGGTATTTTTCAAGTAAAATTTTGGTCTTCAAGAGTGGATGTCTTGACTGTTTTTATGTTTTCTATTTTGCACCATGCCAAATTTTACTTGCTTAATTGTTAGTTGATATCAAATTCAATTACAGTAAGTTTAATTTTAAAATTTTGTTAAAATTGGTTAGTTTGAATTCAAGAATCAAGACCTATTCACCCACCGCCCTCAACTTATTCATTGAGACCGTGTTTATGGTTTTTATGTTTTCTATTCTGCACCACGCCTATTTTTACTTGCTTAATTGTTAGTTGATATTTCAAATTCAATTAAAGTTAGTTTAATTTTAATTTTTTGTTAAAAGTGGTTAATTTGAATTCAAGAATGAAGACCTATTCCCCCACTGGCTTCATGTAATTCTAGTTCAGGCCTTTGCCTACTAAATTTTTTTTGGGTTAAGTGCATACTGTAAGTTTTAACTACAAAGCCTAGGATTTCAGTACTGTTCCTCACAACCAGGTGAACTCACATGTAAACCAACCAATAACCCAGTAACCTAGCACCGAGTATATATCAATGTAATTTCTGAGGAACTTTTTAGCTGTTAAAATCTCCATCTTTTTTTTTTGAAATACTAACCGGTTGTACTCAGAGTAGTTAGTCGGGCATGCAAGAAACATATTGTTATCTAATCATGGCCTCTCAAAAAAAATTTAATTTGTTGTCTTCCTTTGAAAATAAATAAATAAATATATATATATATATATATAGACACATATGTGATGTCGTAGCCCGAATTTTGTTTTGGCTTCGACCAGGAAAATGAGCATTGTGTGGGGCCTGTGGGCCCAATGCCAAAAAAAAAATTCTTGTAGCCCGGTATATAAGGGCGTTTATCGTTTGGAGTGGGATAGCGAGAGAACACACAAAATCATAGAAAGAGAGTGAGAGCGACAGCTAGGGTTTGGGGATTGAAACTTGTAATCTCTTGTTTTTCGCATAGTGAAATCTTTTGCCGGATCTTCTTTGTGGACCTAAGCTTAGACTTTCAAACCACGTAAACCTTTGTATTCTTTGTGTGTGGCATGCTTACTTTTCTGCCATAATTCTTGTTTTGTTCTTAGTTCACTACATTTGTCGTAAGAATTTGTCGATACATCGTGCTATATATATGTAAAGATAAGAATTAGTCACAATGAAATGCATAATACTGAATGGACAGTAAAATGGGTCATTTTTGTTAATCAATTGCCATCCATATTAACAAGAAACATGCATAATGGAATCAAGAGGAAGAATGAGAAAAAGATGAGGAACAATGGGTACCTCATTGGCTTCATCTAAAGCACTGGTAGATTCATCCATTAGAACCAAATATGGTTTTGAAAGCAACAGACGTGCAAATGCAAGGCGTTGCTGCTCACCAAGGGAAAGAACACTGGACCACTCACATGTAGTATCCAGACTTTTGATACGAGATAGCACATAGCCAAGGCGAACATCTTCCAAGACTTGGATTAGATCATCTGTTGTGGGCTTCCGAGGCTTTACACTTCCACATTCAGTGTCCAGCCCTCGTAAAAGGAAAGGCAATGAACCTGTGTAATAATTTTAAAGGCAATCTCAATTCTACAAGCATATTTCATGTTAATCAGTCATTAATTTATTGAAATGCTACGAGTCCTTGAGAAGCAAATGAAAAAGGAAATATCCACCTGGAGAGAGAGAGAGAGAGAGAGAGAGAGAGCCATTTTTTCCCTAAATGGATTGGAAAATTGTATAAAAGAATATGGAAAAAAATATGACGAAACAAGAGGTGAGGGTATTCCCACACAATACATGTGGAATGTGTAATACCCCGGACTTTTAATTAGTCTTTAATTTTTGTTTTCTTGATTTAATGGAGATTTTGTTTATATTAATTGGGAGTCTTTAGATATTTATTTGACATTTGGGGTATCATGGATTTATTTCAAGAGTAAAGGGAGTTTTCTTTAAGGCTTTTGTGTAATTGTTTCATTAGTGGTCTTTTGTATTAGAATTTAAGAGAAGTTGGTAGTAGTGGAAGTTAAGTGGCAGCAAGCATGCATAAAGTAGGATATGTGGCAGCCTCAAAATTTACCTTAAGACCACATATTCACATATAGACACATATTCCCCAAGTGCCTTAAACTTATTTCTTCACGTGTAATCCATAGGATACGTATTGCGCTTAACCACTCCACTAGTTATTTCTCTATTTCCATTACATACCAAAGTTGAACAAGGCCAAAGGAAGGGCCTAACCAGATGAAAAGCAAAGGAAATGATCTGGCCAGGTCTAAAGAAAAGGAATAGAGTAAGGTGGTTCGGCCATGGAAGGAGGAATTCAAGGCTGGAAATTTCACTATCAACCGCTCACCATATCATTATCATCATCACAATCAATTTCTTTTCATGTTCATCTAAGGTAGGGATTCTCTAACCCTAGCTCTTTGGGTGGAATTTTCTACAAAAATTATATGTATTTTTCTATGTTATTGTATCTATGACATCCTTGCTTGCCTAGATTAGGATCGTCAAATGATCTACTGGTAGATATGTTTCTTATGTTGTATTCGAAGTAAATTATATGTGATGATGCATTTGATATTAATTCGTGTTCTATTAAATATATGGATTTCCTCATGTGGTCCATTTTGATGTGATTACATAGATATAAATTGTTATCTATCATGTTTGGCATGGGGCTTTTGGGCATCTAATGTTGTACTAAATGTTAGCATGCATATTGGGGAAAACCATCTATATGTATGAGTTTGTGTTGTAGGATCATAATTGAAAATTTGTTTTCTAGGTTTGTGCTACTCCGAATGCTTTGAGATTTTTACACAAGTACCTATATGAGTCTAGTATCTCCATGTAAAATTTGGTGATTTTAAGACAAGCAATTATTTTTATAAAAATACGACAGTGCTGCTGGCCCGTCTTCGTCTTCACTGTTTGTAAGCTGATTTTGAACGATTCATTTGAGCAACTGTTTGACATCATAAAATTATCAAAAAAATTCAGATTTTATGTATTGTGTATAGTTTCTAAAATTAAAAACCCCATAATTTTATCAGCTCTTTTGATTACCCAAAATTGCCGAAGTTCGTTACTATGTCAATTTTCAGCACAAGAAAAATAGGCATTCTTTGTTTTAAAATCTGACTTCTTCGGCAAACATTCAGCTGCTGGGAGTTGTTCCGTCATGTTACCTCATGAGTCTAGTTTCCAAAGAATTTTGGTTTGCCTCATTCCGATGAAAATTGAATTTTACATGAATTGTTTGGTAGCTGCTGCGTAGATTTCATTCTAAGGGAAATTGCCATCCCATTTTCCATTTAGCTTCTTTTGTTTCCATATTGTGCATCATATAATGTATTTATGATTCTTATACTGAAATGTTGTTAATTGATACATCAAATGCATATACATTTCTTTATACAAATTATATGGATTCTTTGGAAGTTCACATTATTATTTTGTGCGTCTATTGAGGCCATTTGTTTGCTATTTCATGTCATGTGCATAAAACCCTCTTCGGGTCTATGGTTAGCGTCTATCCTATTGGGACACTCTTGTCTCACCACTCCCCAGTTTCAGGTACCGAAGATGATCGACGATTGCTAGGTGCGGCTTAAGCCAATGAGCTTGTGTGGCGGATCTATTTGCCTAATTGGAGAATTTTTTTTTTTTTTATCATGTATTTTAGGTGTTGATTTATGTATCATTGAGGTTGTATTGTATGATCCTCGAAGATTTTGATGTAATTGAGATTATTAATGTAATTGTTGTGTTCTGAATTTTCAGGTCGTTACAGAATGTCACCAATCAAAACAAAGAAAACTCAAAATACATCCACTTATGATAACACCTTAACTAAGAACATCCTCTGTAGGAAGAGATGCTCCATCAAATGCCCTCACAAAACAGTTGTAAGGACATTTTTTGGTAGCTTTGCAGAATGTGACAACCAAACTTATGAACAAACCATTTCCTATAAACTGGTTGTAAAGATTTTGGTTGATTCCCATTAATTGAAAAAACAAGTTCAAGGTAATATGGCCTTTCCACATACCCCCTAAGCAAAATAATCATGGCTATAGCTTGGCTTGCGTAACACACGAGACAACAGAATATTTATAAGTAAAGCCAAGCTTTTTATATGGGAGAACCAAAAAAGAAAAGATGACACTTCTGCAAAAGTAGGCACACGGAGGCTGGAAAAGGGGTGGGGTGTCTCGCTCCCATAATTAATCCCACCTCAAAATCTCTCAATCTCACAACATGCCATTCCAATACAATGAGAACTGGAGAAATATGCCCAAAGCAAAAAATGAGTAGAACCACAACACCAAACTTCAACATAGCCTCCCTGTTACCCTGTCTAAAGGGCTCGATTTGCATTTTGAAATCTTTAGCAATATGAAATGTAATTCAGTAAAAAAAAAAAAAAATAGTACAGCATATAAAGGACATAGCCACAAGGAATTTAGGACCTCATACCTGCTGTTTTAGTACTATTTGAAACAGAAATGGCATCTTCAGTCCATGTTGGATAAAGCAATTGTTGACGAAGTGTTCCCAAAACCATATAGGGCCTTTGAGGAAGGAAACTTATGCCTCTGGAATTTTTGTATCTGGGTCTTTCAAAATCCACATCATCTTGTGTAGTATCTAACTCAGAAGGAGCCACATCCGAAGAAAAGGGGTGCAGAGGATCCTCTGCATCTTTAACATAGAATGTGATTTTTCCACTCCCAGTACTCCAAAGACCTGCAAGAGCCCTTAACAACGAAGTTTTGCCACTCCCACTCGCTCCAGTTACCTATTAATACAGTTATATATACAGTGTAAATATCTCACCTTGTACTCACTTACCAGTTTAGCATGTAAACTCAAAGAGAATATGCAAAGCGAATACTAACCAGTAAATGATCCTTTTCATATATCTTCAATGACAAGTTCCTAATAAGTGTAGCGTTACTTGGTGTCTGTAGAGTCAAATTCTCAATATCCAGTAATTTTTGGGCATTGTCCATGGGCATAGATCCATTAGCCTTCAAGTACATTGAACTTTCCACATTGCAGTATGTAAGATGAATCTCTTCTATGGGATCAGAGAGAAATTTAGAACTGCTGTTATCCAAAATATCATCAAATTCACCTGCATATTTGAAAGGTAACAAAACTATAAATTACATGTATCCAAGGCAGAAATAAGGAATGGTCCAATTTCAGCCTTATAAGCACCACGATGTGTGCAAAGGGATATAGTAAAGGAGATCAGAAATAGAATCATTAAGTTAGAAAAACAAACCATCTTTACATGTCATGCAGATTTACCTAACTCAGATCTAGAATAAAACTTTGACGGTTCAAAAATAGGTAACTACTAATCCATGATACACGTGGACTGAGGTTGTGGCATGTATTAAAATCTTGGTTGAAGCTTCCACAATAGCAATTGAACAATGATACATTCATATGAGATTATATCTTAAATTCCTAGCCAGTAAATGACAGTGCACTTAAAGATTCCAACCCACAGATACTATCTTCCTTCTACTCTCATGGAGAGCAGCAAGTACAGCATAAAGGAGTAACAGTATCGAACATGAAAGGTAGTTTCTTTTGTTATGAATATAAAGAAATATTGTTTCACAGTGGCATGACATAAAAATCAAAAGTAGGGCAAGGCAAGGTACCTAGACGGTCAATAACAGCCGAAAAAGCACTGATTGCCTGAAATTGGTACACAACGAGGGAGAAATCTCCAAGAATATGATTAAAAGCAGATACAGACTGATTTATGACCCCAAATTCTATTTTGCCTGAGAAATACATGGGTGCAACGACTGCAGCAGGAAGTATCTGAATCAGATAGCGATAGCCATTGGTGAAGAACTCCAGATTCCTAGAAGATATCAATAATTGCTGTGAAATCAAAGATAAAAGTTAGACAATTACATAGAATAAAAATTAAAAATATGGAATGTAACTTTTGCTAGAAATACAAGTAGAGATATAGAGAAGACTGAGGGTCAAAAGATACCAAAAAGCAGGCAATTCCTTAAGTTAAGCTCATTATTTATAGAGATGGAACGATTGGATATGGTGTTACTCACAAAAATAAAGTATATTGGATTAAATGAAGAAGCACTTTTGGCATATTAAGTGATAAAATTATGCCTTTAAAATTGAAAGATAACTTGGACCAAATATATTTTACAGGGTAAAATATTAGACAGCTAAGAAATTACACATTCATAACACAAGTCTACCAAATGTGGTAAGACAAGAAAGGATAAAAACTAGAAACAAATACATATGCGAGACTATAGCAGCACCCATTGTGGAAATATGAGAGAAAAATGAAAGAAAAAAAAAATGGTTTCGTGACTTTGGTCATAAGCAGCAAAAACTTAAGTGCCCAAGAAGGCTAGACCATATTAAAGGTAATTTATTTATTTATTCAGTAAGTGATATTACAGGTAATGTTAAAAGGAATGGATAGACCAAATTAAGATGGATTGAGGCAGCATGTATTTAACTCAAATTATAACCTTGAATAACACGGAAAGAGGAAATGAGATTTATGTACCCAACCCCACATAGTCGGGACAATGCTTTTAGTGAGTTGGATTGAGGTGAAGACACCAGGGCGGTAGGGTCCACTCCAAAGTGCCCCAACCTTACCCCCAGACGGAAAACCAGTTAACACTTTTGTTCCCATATAATTATGTGTGTGCGTGGAGAGAGAGACTACACTGGTTCTCCTCCATTTAGTGAAATTTCTCTAATTGTTTACAATCCTTGTTGAAAATTTAGCCAGCCATACCACATGAGCCCATACATTTCAAGCCACAATGACATTACCATCAGATCCTAAAAGTGATATATATTATGAGGAAACAAAAGGTGGCATGGCAAAGTCATCATTTCAAAGGTGCTCGCCAGGACGCAATGGAAAACTTAATTTTGGAATAGAAACAACAAAAGATTAAAGGTATCCATACAGTTAAATTTTCAAAAGCACTTTTGAAGCGCTGCAGCAGCAGTTGCATTTCATTTTCCTCGCCACTGTAGAATGCAATTGATTCTGCATTTTCACGAACGCGTACAAGTCCATATCGGAAATCTGCTTCTTTTTTCTCTTGCAGGAAATTTAAGTTTACCAGTCCCTGAAAGAGCGGATGGAACCATTCCGTCATTTGGAGTAAATAGCATCTTTTATTGCAGAAAGCTTCACTGAAGTAGACAACCATGATTGATGAAGTTAGGAAATTTACCTTCCCAAGAAAAACAGAAATAGCTGTTCCACCGATTGAATACACAAGAAGTACAACAAACAGCGGTGGATAGATACCATATAGGATGTTGCTAAATGATATCAAGTCTATCACAGCATTGAAGAATGTCAGAGAGAATGAAAGTGCTGTTCCTGTGAAGGAACTTAGATCATCAACGATCCGCTGATCTGGATTATCAATTATTGATTGAGACTGTATTTTATAAAATGTCTGATTCTTTAGATAGCGGTCAATGTAATAGCTTGTCATCCAACCTCTCCATCTCAATGAAAGAATTTCTCTTGCATAATCTCTTAATACAAAAAACTGCAAAACAACATTATGAATAAGATTGACAGTTCAAAATTATAAATATCAAAACAACAGTAGACACAAAATAATGCAGAAGCGGAACTATCTCTAGCACTAGCAACTAGCAAGAAAAGAAAGCAAATGATATATAGTATATATTTGATGGGTGTATATAGCACTTTTAGAAGAAGTCTACGTCCACAGTGATGACCGGCGAAAGATTTCACTATGTGAAAAATAGGAGATTACAAGTTTCAAACCCAAACCCTCTCTTTTTCTCTCTCTCTCTCCCCTACTGTTATTAGTGTTCTCTCATAACACACTCCAAACCCTATGTACCTTTATATACTGGGCTACAAGAGAGTAGAATTGCAAGAGAAGAACAGGATCCAAAAAAATAATTTCAACTGCATTGCAACCCCAGCGGAAACAAAATTCAACACTTTAAACTAGTGTTTAGCAAGCCTGCATTCAAAAATCTGGCCACAACTTCACCCTTTAAAATAGTGATCACCAGGCCAGCATTATGTGTCGATTACTTAATGATTTTCTCATTAAGGTTTTAAATCTAATTGTTGTTATGTAATTAAATTATACGATCAATTGTCTTCTTCTCTGAGAACGCTTGAACTATCTGAATTATGATTTGAGGATAAAGTTTTGGTGATTTCCAAAAGAAAAGGAGAGTGATACCTAAGAAAATGCAGCAATGTGCTCACCGGAATTCCACCAGCAAAAGCACCAAGGTAGTACAAGAGTTGCTTGGTGAATTGTTCCTGGTCTTTGTCTGGCATAAAAAATTGAAATAATTGTAATGAATTATTATATCATTAAACTTAAAATGAACAGAGAAAATAAAGAATTAGAAAAGAAAGAAGAGGCAGCATAATAAAATCTCACTGGCAAGGGCGTTGTAGAAATCGCGGCCGAGGAAATTGAAACCGACGCTGATGCCGGTGGTTCCTAAAGTGAGGGCAAAAACAGCAGCGAGTTGCAATCTGGCTTGGACTTTGTCATCCGATGACCAATATGGTGCAGCCACTTTCCAGAACCTCCTGGCCAGTGTTGGGAGGTCAGGACCTTTTCTCTGTGCATCATCATCACCACCACCACCCTATTTCACATTCAATCAATTTTGTAGAGAAATTCAATCAATTCATATATGTGTAATATATATGAATAGAACAAAAAGAAACCTGATCATTCTGTGGTTCCGTGGAAGAATCAGCAGCCGCAGATGATGGTGAAGAAGACGAATGAAGTGTGGATGTATTTCTACTACTCCTTCTCTTCCTCAAAGGGTTGCGAATGGAGGAAATGAAGAGTATGCTACTGTTACTGTAATGGGCAAAATGGGATGGGAAGAAGGTTTGGTTAGGTTTGAAGGCCGTAGTAGTGAAGAGCCACAAACGACGATGAGAGTAGGGGTTTGGGTTGGGTTTTGTATTATAGTAATTATTATAATTACTATAAATGGAGAGAGCATTTGGTTGTGTATGTGCTTGTAACTGTATCATGGTCGCTCACTTGGTAGTTGATCAGACAGAATTCAGTTTTTGGTGACTGAAGTTCAGCTGCTTGAGGAGACAATGGAGATAGACCATTACATTCCAATTTTGACTTTCCACATTTTCTTTCTATTTTCACCCAACTTATCCAAACCAAGAGTCTTCGCAATTTGCAGCCCGTATAACGCCACGCCATGCTACTACCTCTATCTAATATTATTTGTACGGAGTATATGTGCTGTTTTTTTTTTTTTTTTAAGTGATTAAGAGATAAAGGATCAATAATGAAATAAGACTTATTAGTGATAAAATAAAATAAAAATATGCTTAATTGGTACGGAAACATATAGCATAGACCATCATTAAGAAATTAATTAAAATTAGTGTAGCGTCAGAATAATTTTTATAATCAGTGTCAGTTCACAACTAAACTCCTTGTGTGGGGTGGGGGACAAATGAGTGTTTGAATTTTCTACCATTTAAAAATAATAATAATAAAATAACTTTTGATAGTAAAAACAACCTCGGTTAAAAAAATGAAGAGAGAGAGAGAATTCATTTGGTAGAGGACACGTCTATGAAGTCTTGAGAAGATATTTGGAGAGGGGTAAATGGCGCAATGGCAGAAAGCATGTCGATTAGAAAGGGAAACAATGGATGCCATTCTAATTTGTAGGTTAGATCCAAATTCAAGCCCACATTGTCCTCCTACCAATAATTCATTCAATGAATCCATTTGAATATAAATTTAGAGACGAGATTTGATAGGGTATATGATTAGCATTATAAAAAGAGGCATGCAAATTCACAACAATTATTTTTTATTTATTTTTTATCTACCCATAAGACTCACCTCTGATTATTTTGAATAGAAGGGATGACATCGGAATTGTTTATCAAATGGTTGGAAGAACTGGTAATAGACACAAGACCATCCATTCTGGTTCTATATTTGTTCGAATAAAATGCTTAGCTAATTCCATGTGTCTTAACCAAAAAATCCTTTCTTCTTCCAATTTTTCGATCTTTCCATTCATTCCCTGTGAGCCCTTCTTCCCCTAATTCTTTCCATTCTACCAAGGAATAATCTATAATAATTCGTAAATCTAGATCGGATAATTGTTCTCGGATAGCACCTGCTCCAGTAGAGATCTCAACATATTTTTTTTGTGAACAAATAATTATTTTATTGAAAATGGAATGCACAAAACATATTTCAATGCCAGTAGTTGCCAACTGCAGCCTGCAGGTCGCTGTTCAGCAAGCAGCAACAAATAACACGATACCATTATGTTACCAATGAGCACCCGCACAGAAACAGCCTGCGTACCATCTCCTGAACTTCTAAATTTATTGTTTATCAGGCCCATGGCTTCAACATCACAGAGAAATCTTCCAAGTGAGAAATATTAAGATCCAAATATAGGACCACATCACCACAGATACATCTTCAGATGGCATTGAACACCCACATACCCAGAGACAGACCACTATCTAAAATTCAACCAAACCAACATCTTTCAATACAAGCCACGAAGACGATAAAAAATCAAATAGCATAATAGTATCTACAATCTCCAACAATACCCAAAACTTAAAAGAGGACTATCATAGTTGAAGAGGATAAATCACGTGCTCCAATTTGACAAAAAACAGCTTCTATCATAGAAGTCAATATATAGAAATACAGTTAAAAGGCAAACCAGGCAAAGAGGCCAGCAGCAAGACACCCTTACAATTCATGCAGATATGACCTCACAGCTAGCTGTTTGCAAACATTTTAAGCTTCTTCTTTCTCATCCTCTTTCCCTTCCCCTTCAATTGACATGGACGTTCCTTGTGAGGTTGCCATAGCCATAACCTCTCCTGGAGGTGGGTGATCAAACTTGCATGTTGGGCCATACTTGCATGTGCCAGTCTTTAGATAATAGGGGCAGATGATGGCACCCTGACAACATGGTCATCAAACGCTCAATGCTTCCTTCATAGTAATACACACACACACACAATGTATATACATACAATCTCGCATAAACAATAACATCACACACACACACACACACAGATTGGTTGCCAACAACAGCAAAATAAGATATCACTGCGGAGAGGGCCAAGGTTAATTTATACATCCTCCTACGATTTTATACTCTACTGACATTGCAGCCAGTGAAACTAATGACAAATGTCACAGTCAAGATACCAGTTCGCCTAGCAGCAGAGGCACCACACATAGAGGTGACAATTCCATATGATGGTTTTTTATACAAAATTTCTATAATCTTTTACTGAACAGTCTGAACTCGAATTCGAATTTTCGAACAGCCAAAAAGCTTTGCAACATGAGTATTGCATGACCCTTAAAGCCTCCTTCTCTTCCACTCGACAGTTTTACTTATATTTTTCTCCAATTCTTCCCAACATACACAAACCCATGTCACAATAGTGCAAGTGATAAAATGCATTCTGTCATAGATACTAAAGGAAAATTCGTGTGGTGTCATATTTGCACAAATTATGACAAAATGACTTCATCTAATATTATAGTTTTGAGCCTGATTCTCAAAGAAAGAAATGCTTATTGTATAATCCTCACAGGCAGCATAGAAATCTAGCAAGTACCTTCCCATGGATACAGGGCCGGCTTGGCCCTTAGGCACCAGCCAATAGGAAGGCCCCTAAAAGTATTGTTTCCTTATTGTATTATTTTCTTTATCAGTTGGGCTCTAAAATTATTTATTTTTTGATAAGTAGTTGGGCTCTAAAATTATTATTTCAACTTCTAAACATTTTTATTTCCTTACATTATTAGATAGCCAAGCCAATAAGGCAGCCCTAAAATTATTATTTTCTTAAAAAAATTATTTCCTTATATTATTAAGCCCCTAAAATTATTATTTTATTTTACTAAGTTCCTAACATTTTATTTCCTTATATTATTAATTCCAACTAATTGTAGCTATTTCCATACTGTAAGGCCCCTAAAATTATTACTTCCTTACTGTATATTATTATTATTGTTATTATTTACAATATATATATATATATATATATATATATATATATATATATTTTGCCCGATTAACAATATATTACAGACGTCATTATTTCCTGATATTATTAGGACTCTTCATAATCAACGGGCCAGTGGTCTAGCGGTATCAGCCTCTTACTTTCCAAATGGAGGTCAGGAGTTCAAGTCTCGGAAGAGACAAGTGTGTGTTAGTATCAACTAGGAAAAAAAAAAAAAAATTAGGACTCTTCGTAGCAAAAGAATTTGATTACTTCTAAAATTTTCGTTTCACTTTCAATCAAAATTCCTAATTCTATCCTTATCTATTTTTTTTTTTCCTCCTCCCCTTCTTCCACGTTTCTATTGTATATATATATAACTAATAATTAAGCTAAAAAATTAACTAATAATTGTGGAAATTAATTTTAAAATAATTTAAAAATTATACGATGGTGAAAATAATATATTATTCACTTGATTTATAATATTAATCAAATGTGTGTGAGGACACCAAAATGACCCGAGTTTGGTGTGATCCACATTGCATAGGATGGGTCGGGTGTGGACAAACGGGATGGAGCAAGTTCGCGCTGGATGGGCCCAGGTCCATAAAGTCATTTCAGAAGCCCATGTTAAAATGAGGGAAGTTGAGTCCAGGCAAAGGGAAGCGGATAAGGCCCAGGCCAAAGGAGGTTGTAACCGTCTATAAATAAGGGGAATCGAGAGGGAAAAAGGGATTTGGAGTGAAGAAGTTTTGGGGGAAATCCTTTGTACTTTCAATTGGCGCCGTCTGTGGGAAGAACAGGAAGGATTGATTGATATTATTCCAGATCGGATTGATTGATATTATTCCAGATCGGATCAATTCAATGCATTCTGCGAGGAAGACGATTAATCTGCGAAAGCTGAATCAACATTGGTAATAATACGATCTGTCTTGACGAGTCCAGGCTCCGGTTGATTTCGGAAAATTGGCGTCCAATCCAAGCAGATCAGATCCGGGCTTGATCCAGCGAACTGCGCGGTTGCGATCTGTTGTGATTACTGAATCCGGCCAGTAGTGGACTGAATTCGGCAAGTGTAAGTTCAGATCTGGTGTGCGCACGTTAGCGGAACTCCGATTTGGTCAAGAAGCCTGCAGTTGATGACTTTGCTCCGATCTGGAATGATGATCGGAGAGGCGAACTCGAATTCTTTGGAGAACGGCCAACAGACAAAGCTCGATGAGCTAATGAACATGATCGATGCTTTGAGGAAAGAAAATGCAGAGCTACGAGCCGAAATGGAGCATCGTGAGGCTCCTGCAATTCCAAGGCCGCCTCCTGACGAAGAGGGAGCTTTACCGTCCGAAGCTGATCGTCAAGGTGATCCAAAAGATGTCAATCGTGGTGGTCCACATCGTGATGAAGGTATAATCGGTAATCTGCCTCCGAATGTCGGCCGAGTAGAGGATCGAGAAGGATCTGTTCGTCTGGAACCGCATCACAAACGGATTATGAGGGAGGAAGCACCGGCATATGAACATAGGATTGCGTCACCATGGCGGAGTGAATTTGCAGAGGACAGGTCGTTCGATCCGCCATACCGACCTTCATCAGCGACAGTTGATTACCATAGCTCAGAAAGGAGATATGCCGATTGGGCATTTCCGTCACGGTTTTCAAGAGAAAACGAAGCATTGCATTCCTCAGCAAGGACGGTCGCATCGCCGTTCACTGATGAAATTTTGAACGCGACGAATCCGAAGAAGTTTTCCATGCCGATCTTCATTCTGTTTGACGGAACAACCGATCCGATCGATCACATATACCATATTCAGTTGAAAATGGCTTTGAATACTAATAATGATCCTTTGATGTGCAAGTGTTTCCCTACGAGCTTGGCTGGACCAGCTCTCAATTGGTTCAAGAATCTGGCTCAAGGCTCAATCGCCAGTTTCCAGGACTTATGCGATAAGTTCATAAGCCAGTACTACGGGAATAAACGTCCGGCTAAGGATGTATCTAGCCTTTTCACAATGAAGCAGCATGAGGATGAGCGGCTCCAAGCTTTTCTCACCCGATTCAACCTCGTTAAAAGCATGGTAATGGAGTGTCACCCGTCAACAGCAGTCCAAGCATTTAAACTCGCAATGAACCGGGGGACGCCGTTCCACACCAGCTTGGTGGTTAATACGCCGAAGACAATGGATGAGCTGAACGAGAGAGCTGACGGTTTTGTTCGTCTTGAGGAGGAAGAAGCAGCTAATTCAAGGAAGACGTCAATTATTTCGACGGAGGAGAAGTCCAAAGCCAAGATCCGGCAAAAACAAGTCCAACCGCAACGTCACCCCTCATGGAAGGCGGAGAAGAGGCCTAGGGAGGAGGAATCAGTCACTCCACTCAGAGTCACCTTAGCAAGGCTATACCAAGAGAACAAAGATAAGTTTCGTCCTCCTCTGCCAATCAGGCAACCTCTTGAACAGAGGGATCAGACTAAACATTGTGCTTTCCATAGTGATTTTGGGCATTAGACTAACGAATGCAGGAACCTCAGGAAGCAGGTAGAGATGCTAATCGCAAAGGGGGAATTTGCAAGCTATGTTCAAGGTCCGGCGCAAGAGCATAACCGCCCGACTGAGCAAATCAAGCGAAACCAGAGGCCGAACCAACACAACTCTCAGCCCGTCCGGATTATAAACGCAATTCATGGCCGGCCTGAACAAACGACGGAGTCAGAAGAGTTGCTCAGAACGAGGTTACGCCAAGCCCAGCTGAAAAGAAGAATTGGTAGTGTGCATGCTTTGCACCAGCAGAACGCGTCCACATCGATAAAGTTTGATAAAATGGACCTGCTACGCGTTCAAATTCCTCATGAAGATCCACTAGTCGTCAGTCTGACGATTGCAGAATGCTTGGTTCGGAAGTAGTGCAAATGTCATGCCCAGGGTGATGTTCGACCGACTGGAGATCGAACCCGAAAAACTCAAACCCACAGGAAATCCGTTGCTTGGATTTGATGGGAAGCGAGTGGAACCCATTGGAATGGTGGAATTGACAGTACAAGCCGCTGAGCGGGTTTTAACTGAAAGTTTTGTGGTAGTAGAAATTCATCCATCATACAACCTCTTGATGGGCAGAGGATGGATTCACAGAATTCAGGGCGTCCCGTCAACCTTACATCAAGTGATGCGATGTTTGGGTCCAGATGGGACCAAGGTAATAGATATACACGGGGACCAGGTTGCGGCTAAAGAATGTTATTCAGTAACTTTGAAATCTGCTGGAAAAGGAAAAAATCCCATCCGTTCAGCCAGTCCAAAATAGCAATTACAGAACCCTCCTCCCAGCAAGGATGGGGAGGAGGAGCCACCAGTTCTGACCACAGAACCCCTTCATGAAGTAAAGATTGATCATGAGAAACCAGACCGAACAACAAGGGTGGGAACCAGACTCACTGAAGAAGAGAAACTAGAACTGACTAATTTCTTGATTCGGAATGCGGATATATTCGCATGGAGCCATTCAGATATGCCAGGGATAAATCCTGCTGTATCCTGCCATTCCCTTAATGTGGATCCGAATGCAAAGCCAGTGAAGCAGAAGCAAAGAAGATTTGCTCCAGAACGAAATCAGATTATAGTTGAGGAGGTTGATCGGCTGCTTGAAGCCGGATTCATCAGAGAGGTTCAGTACCCGGCCTGGCTCTCTAACGTTGTGGTAGTGCAGAAGAAGAATGGGAAATGGAGAGTATGCATCGACTTCACTAACCTGAATAAAGCCTGCCCAAAGGATAGTTTCCCATTGCCCAGGATTGATCAAATGGTAGATGCCACCACAGGATATGAGCGGTTAACCTTCCTAGATGCTTATTCCGGTTATAATCAAATTCCTATGGACCCAGTTGATGAAGAGAAAACTTCATTTGTTACTGAACGAGAGACTTATTGCTACAAAGTC